ATTGCATTTCTGTCGTCAGTTCTCGGTACTCACTTATTTTTAAGTAGTCAGACGAAAAAGTACGCAGCAGCCAGAGTTGTCAACCGCACGTGTTCAGCCGTAAGCCGTTCGCAGCAGAAGTCAGCCGTCAGCAATCATCAGTCGTTGAAGTAAAGAGAGTTAATGAAGTCAGCAGTCTGTTGTCATTTAATATTGCCTACAAGTTTAATAAGTGGTGACCACTTCTACATCGTTTCAGCATTATGTTATAGTCATAAATAGTCCTATAGATAAAGTGTATCTAATATATTTTGGACTATCAGACTATCTGATTTGTTATATAAAAGTAAGCCAATGCTCCCTTAATACACGAAATTATAAGACCAGTACGAAGGACAACGTTGACTGATTTTGTATTTAAAAACGTTTAATTGTTAATGATCGGTTTTTCCGATCAAATTCGTGATGTTAGGCTCTTTACTTATAGTAATGGTGTCTAATAAATATATTGTAAATGCAAATGGCTTATATTTCTTTTGGTTTCGTTAACAATTTTTTGCCGTAACATACTATTCGTAATGTTATGTTAAATTGATATTTTTCCGTTTTTATACCCTGCATACCCTTAGGGTAAAAAGGGTACATTAGGTTTGTATGTAACAGGCAGATGGAAGCCTCCCGGGCCCCATTAAGTATATATATTCTTGATCCGCGTGACAAGAGAAATCCATCTGAATATGTCCGTCCGTCGGTTTGGAAGAACGCCTGAGCTTTTATTAACCAAACTTGGTGTAGAGACGCTCTTAGTATTATACAAATCTATTTTATAAAAACAAAAACTGGTGCTCAAAATCTTCTAAAAATATCAATTAAAATTAAATTTTGTCTTTGAAATATATCAATTCTGAATTATTTGAATAATTTATCAATAACAATCTTACATTAAATAGCGGAACACATCACCCTTTGCGTTTCAGGTTGCTCTTCCAATCGTGAAATGTGTATCGATTTCCAAATGCCAGAAATGCAATCATAGCCCACAAGAAACCCACATAGAATGCAGAACTTCAAGGGAATTGTTTTATATTTATTTACATTTTTACATTTACTTTCATTTTATTTCGAAAATGTGTTTGCATACCTTTGATGCTCAAACTCTTTAGTGTCCTCGATTCTGGCAATTGCTCGAGTGGTTGTTAGAAAAGTCAATAGCAAATATTTGTAGTTCAATTATTCGTAACAATTAAGGCATAACTCAAAAGGGAATAAGAAGAACAAACATGTATGAAAATGGAATGCCAATTAATTGAAATATTTTTGAGCTTATTTAAGCTATGAATTTAATTCTATGAAATGTGCTTTAAATGTTATCACCAACTTTTTGAATATTCCACTTGGTCGATTTCAAATGTTTCGTATAAACGACACGACGCGCCCTCTAAACATTTTTGTCAAACTGCAAGTTGCAATCACAAGTAAAATTTTGGCCCTAAGGCCACAGACAAGCTTTAGAGCTCCCCCTCAATTCCATCGCTTCAAAGTGCTTTGTAACGCTGTTAGCTGCCTGTTTGCTCCCTTGGTAATGCCTCAAATGTTGCAACACGCCTCTGGGCTGTCAATGTCAGCCTCGTCAGCGTCGACGTCGGCGTCGTTGATCACAAAAATTGAATTGTATATACAATTGAATTTTGAAAAATGGCTGCGCAGCAGGGAACGGATGTTGGGAGCGCGACTCGCAGCATGCCACAATTTGAGTTATGACAGGGTGGAGAGGACGAGCAAGTCATGCATTTGAAATTGCTGCGTAGCTGCTTTTCGATTTTTTGTTTGTTTTATAAACGTGTCACAATGCATTGCACAATGTTGCCATTTAATGTGCATTGCTTAACTAACCAAAAATCTAAATGACAACAGCTTTGCCAATACATGTTTGTGGCTTTGACTGCCAGCCCATCAATTTGAATTCGAACAAAACAATGGCCGACCACACAAATTGCTAGCCTGCATCTAAATATTTACTCACGCTCAATGCAAGATCTCGGCCATTTGTGTGCTTGCCGCAGGACGAAAACAGGCAAGCAGGCAGGCAAGGCTGGCATTTAATTTGTGGCTGAGATTCCAAGCTATCGATTTGCCAGCAGACAAGTAGAAAATGTGGTCAAGGTGTTAAATTCAGAAGCACGCACCACAGCTATGCAGACAACAATAGACATTTGCTGTTAATATGGCAATTGGGAATTAAGCTGTAGGGTCTGAAATAACGAGATCTGTGCACATTGTACACATTTTTATGGCAGATCAATACAAATTATGAAGCAGCATTATTTGCATATGAGCGAATAAAAATGTTCTTAAAAACCAATGTTTACTTCATTAATAAATCGCAATTGGAGAAACTTTGCGTATTTAAAATGTACAACTGCGATCAGTAACTGACGTTCTTGGCGTATCATTAAAAATAAACAACCAATTTTAACAAGTCCGACAGTAAAATACCCTGTACCCAGACAAACTTCGGTCACTGAGAAGAAAAAAAGATCAACAAGAGCGAACTTGATGCTGCAGCTTGTGGGCGTAGTAGTAAAGTGAAATTATTTTGCTAATAAATTTTCTTAGAATTGACTGATTTGCAAAGATATATAGTTAATTGTATATAGATAAGGCGTACAAAGTTTGGTTTATGAAGCTTTTGAAATGTGGCCAGGATTGACGAAATTCGGTAGCTGCAGTTTTTGGGCGTAGTACTGAAGTGAACTTGTTGGGTTAATATGGCTATTAAATAACAATTTAATAGAGGACTTTGCAATTTCTTAGTCAAACGAAAATTTGTTTGTGATTAGCAGTAAAGTGTAAGCTCAACTGCAGGAACTTAAGGAATCTGCTGTGAATCTCGATTACAGTTCAGTTGCCAATGTCAATGCATGATCGCACCTTATTGAGTCTTGTGCCGCGATTGAAATCAATTTTAAAAACGCAGGCAACGAAGCGTGCCAATTTGGTAGCCTACTTTAGAGATGAAGCGGCACAAAGTGAAAGGCAAAGGCAAAACGGCAGTGGTTTTAATTAAAGGCTATGGCTATGCATGTAGTCCAAATACAATAGTTCCGTCAATGCCTTTGGCAGGCGTCGTTCGATCAATTAGGCACTGCAGCGGCACTTAAAGCTTTAAATATAAGGCCTTAAATACATATGTATGTACATAGTATATGCATAATTACAAGCGCCAACTCCGCCGCGAGCGCTTAACAAATTTTAATTGAAACTGCGTCCAGTCACGCACCAAGCGCCACGCCCGATTGGACGGACATTTGGATAGGCGGGCAGGCAGGAACTATGCTGTTAATTATAACAACTGTAAAGATGTGACACGTCCATCTGTGGGTGTTGCAATTTTATTGCCATGCGGCGGCAATTAACAGACACAAATAGTTGAGCACGCCTGACCAAGTGCAACAAATAAAATGGTCGCTGAGCGCCCGCCATCGGTCGCATGTTGCATGTTGCAGATGCTGCGATTTTTTGCCCGCTGAGTTATTGGCGGCTTTTCCATCTTTTTTATTTTGGTCGGGCCCTGAGCTTTAATCTGGCGGGCAGCCAACCGAGTTGCACACACGCATACACGTTGCGCCTCGTAAAGCAGGCACGGACAGATAAGGGGTCAGACAATGATGATACAGTCAGAGAAAATGTAACTTGGAGTTAATCTCATCAATGATATTTATTTTAAATAATATTAATCGTAACTTAATATTACACCAATCCTGCACTGCCTTTTTGTTGTCGCATATCTCTAAGGACTTACGAATGTCAAATACGTTCCCTAAATTGCTTTCCCTATGAAACCATTTTTTACACATTTTAGACATTAAAATTACAGCTGTTTCTACAAAAAAATATATGTATGTATATATGTACGTTTATCCGATAATGCAGAAACTGCAAGGCCATTACAGTAAATCACTAGAAAGTTGCATAGTATTGCCAGACTAACTGAATCGTAATTGTTTTACTATCGATAACGATAACTGATTGCCATACTCTCACACGCATGAATGTCATCTTTGGTGTGAGACAATGTGAGGCAGTCTCAATAGGTGATTTGGATTAGGATGAAAATATGAATGTTTATTCATAGCAGACAAGCAAATTTTCTATTGAGGCACAAAACTGCTCAACATTTTTGAATAATATAAATAAAAGAAATATCGAAAGAAGATTTTTTAATGACGAGAGACATGTTATTCTAGAGAATATCATACCTATAGCAAGTAATTATGCTATTATTCTTACTAAGTCAAAAGTATATAAGAGTTTGTTACCAAAAGCGTTATTCATATATAGAAGTGGTATTCCTGCAACTGATGCTGAGTTTCAACACACATTTATCACACATTAATAGTTTGATGACATTAAACATTTAAAGAACACTTTCTTTTCAATCTCTTCTTTTTCATTTGCTGACTTTTTCAAATTCTCATTTCGATACTGTTTTATATTTTCAAAAAACTTAGAAATCATTGCAGGAATGCCTCTTTCATGTTATCACTGATTCGGTTCCTTTTAATTTCTTTGCAATGCTTTGACAGTCGACTTTCATTAGCTCGTTGAACGGTAACAAAATATGTATTTGTTGCTCATCCCTATCAAAATACTAAAAGCAAAATACTAAAAGCTGGAGAAACATCGATGTTTACCCACATCGATGTTTCGATGGTTTTTGGGGAGAACAACGATGCTTCGAATTTCCATTAACGAATTTTGAAGAATGTTTTATTGATGTTTAAACATAGGGAACTTCATTTTGAAAGTATGACATACAAAAATAAAAGTTCAGTGGTGGACAAGTAGTAAAGAACATAGAACGTCGGGAATAAAACATCGATGTCTAAAAAAAATATCATAGCATTGATGTATCGATGTTACATCGATGTTTCGTCCAGCACTACTAGAAGCTTCTACAAAGACAGCAATCTGCACGCGTTTTTTATTAAACAGTAGAATGGATCCAACCGGCGACGATGAAAACTCTTACTATTCAACTTCATCCAATTCCAGTGGTATAACTATAGAATTTATGTCGGCTGATGAAGAGGAAACGTACACAGCTGTGAGTATAAATAGTTAAACGTTTTCTCGACAAATAAGATTAATATAAATATGTATGTATGTATTGAAGGCCGCTGCAGGAAATCCGGGAGCAGTGCAGCGTTCCCCTTTGGAACCACTCGCTTCGATGGCCAATACACCCCTATTGAACCACCGCCGTGACCCTCCTGCAAAGCAACCATTGCAGCTGGGTAACCTGCAGTTTATTCCAAAACAAGGTTGCCCTAAGACCGCCTTCATCGAAAATTGGCTTGACACTCAGCAGAATAAAGGTCCACCTAAGCTGGGCGAAACCAAAGCTTATAGTTCGTCCATAGGCGATGTTTCCACAGCTAAGGATGAAACCTTCGCCACTACTAATTCTCAGAAAGATCTCACTAATGAGCAGGGAGCAGTCGGTGAGAAGCAAGTGAGTACATCCTATATTTTTATACCTTTCCTATGATTTTTAAAGCTATCAACACAATTGATTTTCAGAACATTTCCGCAAATAAATAGATGACGTTCATCATATTCATCCGTCCAACTACACAGTATTAAAAAGATTGGCTCTCTCAATATTTGGAAGCTAAGCATGAGACTTAGTGGACAAACTGAAGAGATCTCAGATGATACTCCAAAAAATAATAAAATAATAATACAAATGAAATGTTTGTGCGAAAGAAACAAATTGAATTTTTAGAAGTATTTTTGGAAGCAAGATAACGAATTTAAAATTTCATAAACATCCAACTCCAGAATTATTGGCAAGTCTTGACTGCTAGCTAAATACTGGACTTTCGTCAAAATTTATATTTTATTCAAACAAGACTAGTTCTGCCAATCAATGGGAATATATCACCTAGTTAGCACCAAGTTAAAAATCTATGAAAAGGAGTGTAGAGACATTACTCTGTTTGGTATTAGTCACTCTACTTAGAATTAAACCTTTCATATAACGATTTTAGAATATGTATATAACATGTTTGGGGAAAAGCATTTTTTTAAGTGTATGTACACACATTCGAACAATGGCGGCCGTTTCGTTTTAGTTCGTGTTGGATTGCCAATACATTGGAGTTTTGGGCAGCTCGTTGGCAAACCTTTTGGTTGGTTGGGCTGGGGTTCAAAGTGGGGTTGGTCGTCTGTTTTCTGGTCGAGCGTTCGTTGCATTTTGTAGTGATTTGCATGCATCGGCATGACCGGCAACTCTTTATGGGCTGGCGTCATTTTGTGTCTCTCTGTGCGTTGAGAGTTAAGACTTTTTTGCACCCGAACGTGATGACCCGTTGGGTAGAAGGTAAACCGTAGGCACACGCACTGATTGCATCAACTTGAAATAACGTAATTAGTTTTTGGGCATTGCCCAGGGGTGGGGGTGAGCGGGAGGGATGCGTGTAATCTGTATGGGACTTACTGCTTCATTGTCGGACAAGCTGGCGGATTCCGTGGTTTGCCATTGTCAACAGAGCTGCTTTGTTGACTGTTTGGGGACATGGAGTTTATACTCCTAATGGTTGGTAAGTAGGCAGCATTCGAACAGAACGTTTGAAAGTCTAAAACACTACGTACTTTTATGTACTTATGTATAGTATTATCGAGATGACAACTAGTTGTACTTATACTTAGGGCTGGGGAACAAGATTTTGGATTACATAATGTGAGAAATAACGACTTCATATTATATATATCGTAAAACATTACCTAACCCGTAATACAGTCCATGATGTTGGCTTCCTTCATAAGACTATTATCGGTCATGTAGACGCCTCTAGAGCCTCTTGTGGACAAACTATGAACTACTTGTATTTGGCATTGCTTTGCATAGAATCTCAACCGAGTTGTACAATTGTTGACGGATTTTGAGTTCACATTATAATGTTAAAACTCAACGTTGTTTTATTATTATTCTTAAATGCTAAGCTCTTTAAAAGAACTGGTTAACAAATCTACCCCTTATTGAATATTTTCTGTTTTTTAAATAGGCAAAAAACTAAATGATCATACATTTTCATATATAGTATGTAGACTGTCTTTATTTGCCTACAATTTATTTCAGTCTTCTCCGAATCGAATAACGGCATTTCAATTGGTGTTATATTATGAAATCTCAGTCAATGCCCCCGAATGTCGCAGGACATCAGTCATTATGCACTAAGCCACACACGTACTCATGAATCATGACGCAAACAATCTCCAATATAGTATAGTACAAAATCACACGCATTGCGCTGTGCTGTCAAATAATTAATTAGAATATAATTGCTCGTAATAATTCATGGGCACAGCGGTACATGTCTATAGAGATATAGGAGTATAGAGAGTATTACACTCAGAAAATTTTCTACATCGAATTGCGTTGGAATTTGTACCATTTTCTAAATTATATTTGAACTTTCATCGATTTTCAATCTAGCATGAATAAATTATTCATTTCAAATCGAGTTGCTTCTTATTACCAGTTGTGTGTTGTAAATGCAAAGCGTCTGCGAGTACTATTCAGAGATATACTTGTAGTTTGTATTTTAGTAGAAGAATTAAATTAGTTGTTCTTCATTAAAATATTATTAAATTTATACTGGATCAAACATTTCTTCCGATTAACTTTTAGGAATGCTTAAGAGTCCCACAATTTCATTTAAATACAAAATTTGAAGGTTATTGCGAAGAAAAATTATGTTCTATATATATTATATTCTATATATATTGCACTATAGTTGACTTTTTTCTGAGTGTACCACCACAATATATGTATGTACTTGACAAGTATGGCAGTTGTGTTTCTTTTCATTGCTCTCCACTTCAACCACCGTGTTCACGATGGGGGTGCGTGCCCCGAAAATCGAAAGTGGTCATTTGCTATGCATTCGATTGGTGTTGCGGCTGCGTGGCTGTGCTACTGCGTGCCTGTCTGTCATGTCAGTCGCATCCAAAATTAATCAATGGCTTGCAGCATAATTCATTATGTCACACAGTCATTGCCACAGCGAATGCCACAAACAGCAAACGTCACACAACCGCAGTCGAGGCCGCAGCCAGAAATGAATGGTCCTAGCCACCGTTATAGGCCTCTCCGCTTCCTGTGGTTGTTGACTATTTGTCAAGGCCCATTTGAAAAACAGGCAGCACACACACACACAGTAAGCGGCAAATGGGAAGCTACGAGTCACGAATCACGTTACGTCGGATGTGGACTCTTCAATCAAATGCGAAATTATAATTACAGGCTGACACCGGCGCCGTCGACATTCAGAGCAGCAGCCATTTGATTTAATCAGGTTAATGGCAAAGCTCTGATTTGTTGTTAGAGGGCTTAACCGACCGCTGCTAAATGCTTCCCACTGCATTCCATGTGCAATTATAATGTTGCATTCTAATGGGTGCATCTACTTTATAATTAAAGGTCGAATCCACTGTGGCAAGTTTCGCTTGTTTCCACGACTTCAAGCAAAGAAAGTTCCATCATCGTGTCGCAAATGAATGAATGATTGAATGCATAAATCCAGGTGACCGCCCAGTAGAGCGGTTTGCTTATGCAACTGATGTTGACAGTTGAGTTTATGGCAGATGATAAATGCCACCACATAGACACACCGGCGGCTGTTCAGCCAAACTGTTCAGCTTATGCCAATGTTGTGCCTGTGGCGTTAGGGCCATTAGTAAGTTTATTCGCTTTAATTTTCATTCATGAAACTGTTTAAATTACTGCTCCGGGACTAATCGATCAATCTTTTTAAATTTTTTTTTTTTTAATTTTTAAATGCTCATTAAAATGTATTCGTCTGATTGTTTTGTTGCCCAGAGTCAGGCTTAAAGTTATTTGTAGCGTAAGAGCTTCATCCAATTTGATGTCAAATATGTCCAATGATCGTCATGATTGTCCCTAAAGATCCATATAAGTATCCCTTCCTCACGGGATATCATTGTCGAAGAGATTGTGTGGGGGATGGAAAGTGCGTAAAGTTTACTATTTCGAAAAACAATACCAACAAAGCACAACTAATTGAAGGCATTAAGCGGACTTGATCAGATATTTCTCTAGACTTATTTGGAGATTTGTATTTATAAGTCGCTTCCAAATTAAATCCATTAGGTTATTCCTAAAAATTAGGGATCCACACATTGATAAATATATTGAAAAAAGATCAATTTAGGTAATATAACAAAAGTTCTTGGCTTAAAAGGAACTGAAAAACAAGCCACATGAGGTAATCACCTTATTTTTTTTAAATACTATTATTGTAACAGTCTATAATAATACAATACAAGTATAGTGTATATATAATAGACTAAAACACACTTACCTTAAGGGGTATGGTAACCTGATTTCCCGTAGTGTATCATTAAAATTTTCAATTTTATTTCCTATTATATGTATCTTTATTGCCTTCTTCTAGGTAATCAAAAAAAGCGTAACCCTTGTTATGAAGCAGGCAGGCATTTCAAAACAATCCTGAAAATTACAAGGGTTTTATTAAAATAACAGTACACGTCAATATCACCGTTATTTTTTTAAAAGTCATTTTTGATGTTTATTATATTGGTTTGAAGATATTGGTCCTAACTGTAGAAAAACAATAATTGAGGTATGAACTGATAGTAGCTCTTTGAGTTTTCAAGTAAAGAAAAAGTTTTGCTCTTAAGCGATCAATTAACACTTTTGAGCAGGAATCCAGAATTTTCTATTTGAATATACAAATGTGTGTATAACATTGGTCAGATTGTTTCTTATACATATACCGTCAATAAATTTTTAAAATGTGACAAATATATGCAAATTCAGAGGGACCAGCTGCCTCATCTAAATGCAATAATATTCCCCAAGATCTTATAAAAATTATAAATACAATCGAATCGGACCATAAGCTGGATCAGGGCAAGACGGAACTTCCCTCGCCATTTACTGGTAATGGACAGGTATCTGGTTTTAAAGTATACACTTGAACCACTCGCTAGTTAGCTTCTGCAATTTATTAGAAAACTCTTTTTTTTACCCTTTACCCTTTTAATATCCCAATGGAAACACAATATTTTCTTTTTTTTTTGCATTTTTAAAAGTTATTTTTATTGCATTTCTTTCATGTATTTTTTATGTATGAATCTCAAATGTTTTTTTTCCTCTGCTATTGGGTTGCAATTTGCACACATTATTGCATGTAGTTGCCATTTTCTTTTTCCAAGTGAGTTTTCATTTTCATTTTGGTTTTTGTTTTACTTTGTATGTTTGTTTACAATTTGTCACAACCTTACAAATTGAAAATTGATATAAACCAATAGATTTAATTAATTTTTGCTTTAATTCCATACTTCAATGCTACTTGTGCACAAAACCAAATAAAATAAAATAAAATAAAGCAAAACAAAAACGTGTGTATAGTAAAAGCAAAATGTTGTTACAGTTTTTGTTTCTGGCACTTGCAAAGAAATAATATATGCGGGACGGGGGACCACTCGGTTGATTGTTATGTGCGGCAATTTTTACAAAATTGTCGCCTATCGGTTGCTGGTTAATAACGATTCTTGATTTGTTTCTTTTGTTGCTTCGCTTGCTATCAATTTTGTTGGTTTGTAAGGTTCGCTAGTTTTTTATTTTTATACACAATGCGAATTTTAAAAAATATGCTTTAGGTCTAACTTTGTTTTTCAAAATTAAATTAGCTTTTCATTTGAGGGGCAACGCATTTTAGTTTTGGTTTTTTAATTTTTCGTATTTATTTTAATTTTTCTTTTTGCATTTCTTACTGCAACGTTTACTTGTCCATTCATAAACAAATGGTACAACTTACAATTTGGCACATCATTATAGATTAGAGTTTTTATATAATATTAATATATATATATATACTTTATATTTATACTTTATGTAACGCATGTTGTATGCCTTAAAATGTTGGTGAACAAAGCAGCTGGCTTTTCACTTTTGTTTTAAGGTTAAGACTACACAGAGTGGTTGTTTAAATTTAATTTTTTAATCTTGCTTGCTTGTACTAAGTGTTAAAAAGTTTAAAAACGAAATACATTAAAAGAATATTGTTGGTTTTAACTAAAGTTGTTTTGCAAAATATTCGTATTGTATTTTTTGTATAGGTATTTATATGTATGTATGTCTATATATAGCTGCAGTGTTTGATTGAGTTGCATTTGCATTTTTGGATTTTTCTTTCCATTAATAAGTATATATTTAATTGTTTATTTTGTTCATATCTGGCTTAAGACAAAAAAGTGTTCGTTTTCCCTTAGTTTTTGTTTTAAAAAATTTGCGGTGGAAGTTGAGTTTATAATATAAATTTATATTCCATATTATTATTAGGTTTATAACTAGTTGGTTACGCATTTTTGTTTATCAAACCCAAAAATGTTCTGTCTGTGTACTATGTGTGTGTGTGTACGAGTATGTGTGTGTGTGTTTGCAGCCAAATAGTTTTTGGCGCTGGCTGTACTTGTTGTGTAGTTCTGTTCTGTCGGCTTTAAAGTAAACAAATCAATTGTTTGATGTAGGTGATGGTATTTATTAAATTTAATTACATGTCTATTTTCAAAGCTACATTTAATTTGGCAATTGTTGGGTTCGATTTTGCTTAAAACTTGTATTTATAACTTTTGCGCGCGTATTTCTTTTAATTATCTTTTCATAATGCTGGCTATAAAATAAAGGAGAACAATTGTTTTTGCTTTTTGAATTAAAATTAAAACTAAATATTGTTTTAAATGTAAACTTTGGCTTTAAAAATGTCAACATAATCGTATATTTTATGCTTAAATAATCTTCAAATAAAATTGTTTAGTTTTTGAGCTGAGTTGTTTCAGTGTGTGCGTGTGTGTGAGAATTTGATTTGAAAAATATATTCAAATATATTTATATATATATATATATATATATACAATCTTTAGTTGGGCAAATATGATGAATAATAAGATTGAAGTTGTGCAGCAAGCTCAAGTTTCGAGTTTCGAAGTTTCACCAGATCAAGCTATAAGTTATCCTACGTATTATCTTATAAGGAAGAGGGGGAAAACACCTAAAAGATTGCACAATTGTACACACATTTAATCAAATGTTTAGCATAGTTCACTATAAACAACTATGTAGTATAAATTGGATGACAGTAGCTGCCTAAGAATAAAAAACCTTTCACTTTTCATATCTTGAGCAATTTTTGACATTTTAAGACATTACACAATTTTAAAAGTTTGTGCACGAGCATTAATATAGTATAGTTTTTGCTTTCTTTCATTTAAATTGTGTGTGTAAAATAAATTCTTAGTTTTCTTAGGGAAGTTCTTCGCAGTTAGCCTTGGCCAGAGAGAGTGCATTCGGCCGAAATAATCAACAACACTGAAACGACTTTATCAAGTATATCTGTTTAGGTTTTAGGTTTCTTTTTCAAAACTTTTGTTTTTACACAACACACAAAGAGAGTGCTACGAAGTAGTTTCTAAAAATGTTTTTTGTTTTTTTTTTTTTGTTTTAATTTTAATGCTTACTACTCATCTTTTTTATTTTATTCACTTATATAAATGTTTGCTTTTGTTCTCGTGTTTTTTTCTTTTTGTTTTATGTCACTGGAAGCTTGACTTTATAAACTAGTACATTATTTTTTAGTTGTAGTATTTTATGTTCTTACTGTGTTTTTTATTTTTAAATCCTTTAATCTTTCTGGTTTGCTGCTACGGCGGCATTAAAGTAAATATTATTGTATATTCCAAGGATATGTCTACGTGTTGATCTTTTTGCATTACTTACGCTACAGGTTTGAGCAATGGTTTGCATTAATTAGTTGACTTGCGATTCTAGCTGCCAAAGTATAGATGTTCAGAACGTAAAGAAAATACTAAATGATAGGAACAACAAAGTAAAATAAAGTTGAAGAGGGCTTCGCACACAGTTCAGTAGTTCACATGAAAGAAGAGAATCAGTTTTGAGCTTCCTTCATTGGCAACTTATGGTTGCAATTCGAATATTAATTCAGAACAAATATTTATTATAGATGTGAAAGGACTTTGTAGAAAACTGCGTGCTAGGCTCAAAGTCGTTAATAAAGTAAGTTAAGAAAGCAAAGGCAAAGCATTGCTAAAATAAATTCGTTGACACATTTGTTTAAACAATAATAAGAGATGAGTATTTTTCTTTGGACATGTGGCTAAAGTATTTAAATAAAAAATAGAGATTTTTGCTTAATATCTTGCGCTTTAACATTTTGTTTGGCAACTTCTATTCCTTTTTTTTTTTCCAATTTCACATGAATATGTGTTGTTGTTGGTTTTTTTGTAGTTCATGTTTCCGTATATTTATAAAAATAATATACATATATCATAATTATGTGGCGCTTGTTTTTGTTGCTTTGTTTTGTTTTGTTTTACGGCTACATACAATGCTAGAGTTGTTACAACTACAATAACTACATAAGTAAATACAATGCGTAATAATGAATTGAATTGAAATTGAAAAATAATAATAGTAATAGACATGAACCTAACTTACAATGATGCAAAATATATATATGTATATATTTATATATATAAATATATATATATTTTGAATGTGAAATCATAATTCTGAGTATGTTTGCATGAAAGAGAAAAAATATAGGTATATACCCGCGTTATACATATACACATAAAAATTGCTCACTGTGATATACAAATACAATGTTTTATATGTATTATGCATATATATCTACATATATAGCATGTAGGTATATATACCCATATATATATGTATATATAAATTCTGTTGCTGCAAAGTTTCAGCATTTGCTTTCCTTTTGTTGTTTTGTTTTATTTTGTTGTTAAAAATCTACACATGAAGCACTTTGAAAACTATTTGCCATTAATTATGTATAAACTTCATAGAACTGTGTTTTTTTTTGTTTTTGCGGCATTTGCTTTTTGGTTTTTGCATTTCTCATTGTTTTCTCTTTTTGTTGGACGACATTGATTTGTTATTTTGCTTTTTGTTTTAGTTCATTTGCTTGTAACTGCAACAACTACACGCTATATGCTAATCTTTTGTTTAGATTTAGAACGCGGCTGCTTTTAGCTTTGATTTTCAAACTCCATCGACGATTCACGATGTGCTGCTTTGTGTGTATGTGTGCGCGTGTTTTGTTTGAGAAGAGAGCGTGTGTGCAGCCGTATTCTCATTTTGAGCGCCTGCGAGTATCTCTAATTCTTTAAGTTTACCTGCTACTTACTGCACGTAGAGTATTTACGTCTAGTTTTGTTCATATATGTATTGAGCATTGTCAAGTAGAGTTGTTCATGTGCTTTTTTTTGTTTTTTGGGCTGGCTTGCGAAGGTTTTTAATATGGCGTGAACCGATTGAAGCCACCGCGATACATGGTTGCCTGTCGATAAATGGTAAGAATCGAGTTCAGAACATAATTAGCAAAGGATTTAAAAATGGGCTTGGTTTTTAAGAGAATCGAATCTCCCCGTAATTCAGGATATAGACACAGATACTTTAAATTATGCAACAGAAACTTCTTCTTAAAAAGTTAATTTTTTATAAATACTTCAAAATGGGAAAAATATTTGATAAAAATACTTTTTCAAAATTGCCTTTTTACCAATAAAGGCAAACATTTTATAAAATAATACAGCGTTTTTAGGTAAGAGTTCTCTTGTTTTATTTTGAAACTTACCCCATAACCAGGAACGGGTCCAATTCCATGTCCTAGATAGGGATCCGCATATTCGCGCGCATAACTAAAAATATTTATGTTCATTCTTATTAATATGTTTAAAGCTCTTTGTTTATGTTTAAGTGCGAGTACTGCATGTTTTAACTACGAGTGTTTGAAATGAAAATGATGTCTCCGATTTTGAGTTAATGAGTTATGGTTAAGTGCTTGTTAGAAAGTTGATTGTGGTCAACATTTTTGAAGTAGAAATATACATAAACGTCTTCTTCCATCATCAATTAATCATCTTGCTGCAGCGGATCCAATCCCTTCATTTCAAATATGCATTATTCATTAGTTTTTATAGTAAATATCTCATTTTTCCACTCTTGGTTTTCTTTTAATTCAAATCTTCTTGATTCTTTCATTCAGCAATTCATATGTTCTCTTCCCTTATTTCAATAAAAATTGTTCAATTTCGAAATCGCTTTGCAAAAATACTCAACCGTTAGTTGTAATTCGTCAGTTATCGGTGTTAGATTTCTTTTATATATTTACGATTAGTAGCCAGGTTTTAAAAAGTATGCAAAAGAAAAGGAATTAGTTAAATATGTGATAATAAAATTGTTAAACAAAATGTAGTAAAAATCAAATGTTGTTAAAGTTAACTTATAATTTAACTAACTAAGTTAACTAATAACTAACTAAAATAAAAGCATTTTAAACAAAAATTAAGGTAATATAAAGGCGTTTTTTAAATATACGTATGTACAAGGTGTGTTCCAAAGTAAATTGAACTTTTTAAAAATAAGTTAGGTGGGAGAATACGGAAAGTGGTTGATAGTTTTATTAAGATTTTTTGTCAAAAAATTAGACACAAGTATCGACCGACGAGTCAAAATTTTCAACTGTGCGGAGCAAAGCAAAAACCAGACAAAATTGTTTGATTTAAATGCGGTGAGTCATTGATTTGGAGATATTTAATTCCATTAAAGTAAATTTTACCCAAGATTCTGGACCTTTGATAATCCGAAATTCTGGATGGTCAACATGTACATCAAAATCCAAGTTATTAAGTGAATATTTGAATCGCGTATCTACTCGTGAATATGAATATGTCATGTTTCATCACTAAAAACATCCCATAGTTCCGCTTCCAGTGGAGCTAATGTCACGACATTTTTACTGGAAGTCCATTTTACTTTGTTCTACACCTTTATACCTTTTATGTGAATAATCAAAATAATAAATACATATATGTATAATTAAATAATAATCATATTTTATATACACAATAAAAATAGCAAATGTAAATTTATTACATTGTATTATAAACTAAGAAAAAGATACTTAGACCCAATAGTTTTATTGTATTTAGTATTATTTAGTATTAGTCGATTATTTTGTTTCATTATCGTTTTTTAGGCCTTGTTCATTTCATTTAAATGCAAAGCAATACTTAAAAAAAAACAACCATTAAATATTTATTGTGTTAAAGCATTGCAACAAACTAATTTCTTTCTGTCCATGTTGAATGGATTACCTTTGTTTACCCAATTATTGGCTACATACCAGACCCGAAACACCAGTTAGACTGCGTTCGTACTAAACTATACTATAGTTATTGCTTTAATATTGTGAGTGAGTTGGTGTGTGAGGGTGGATGAGTGAGTTAATGTGAGTTGAAGAAGCAGCAATTGACTGATGGGCAACTCGCCAAGATTGGAGCGTATGTGTAGAGTGAAAACTTACCCCGCTACGGTGGCATAGCCAGCGAGTGCCGGTTGAGCGGCTGCAGCTGCGGCAGCACCGTATGCTGCACGTGCAGCAACCGCCGTATAGGTGGTGGCCGCTTGTGCATACGCCTGCTGCTGGGCCTGAGACAGGGGTGTCTTTAACAGCGGAGCAGTGGCCTGGAATAATTTTAAGCAAATATTGTGTTAAACAGACGAATTGGCAAATGGAAAACGCAACGACAAGACTAGCGAGAGCAAATGCCAAAGAAAAAAGAGTATTACAGTAGAAAAAAAAAACACCACACTAAACAAGTGCAACCAAATTAATTATTTTTCTTTTTTTTTTTGGGAGATATACACATGTATTTATGTATGTACCACAGGGTGAGAGAGCTACCAAACCAAGATGCCAACAAAGTGGGTCAACTACAAACGAACAAAGCAAAGAAATGTGTTTTTTTGTAATTAAACTTAACTAATGCCTATGACTATTTTTAATTTAAATATAACTTTAAACTAAATTAATAAAATATATATACATTATATGTACATATGTGTAGGTACGATATGATTCAGTAACGGTGCATATGTTTACATACATACATAGAATTGGAAAATGAAACAAAATTGTTGTGCAGTTATTGCTACAAAAAACAGGAGAACAACACGCAAACGCATGAACAATTAACTTATAAAACATGTACAACAACAAACACAGTTGCAGACACAGTTGTTGTTGTAACATAGATATTGGCATATCAACTTTCAATTGAACTAGCACTAGAAATGATTATTTTTACCAAAACATTCTGTGGTACCGGAATGCGGTTGATCGTATGTGGGGTACTGTTTAGCGTAGTCACAGTGCGGCGCTGTAAGTTGTTTATTTTATAGATATGTAATTTGTTGTTGTTGTTTTTTGTTTAGATGTTGTTGATTGGTTGGTTGATTGTATTTTGTAACAATTATTGTAGTAGTTGTTGGTTGTTGTTGTGGTGGGCGTAATGTTGTAACAGTCGTGAAAAGTAAATAACGAAAAGTATAGTAGTTACACGAAATGTTTTACATTACAGCATCGAAATATATGTTTATTTATAAATTTATTTATATATATTAAAATTGTTATGCTTATGTCGTTCAGTGTGAATACAGACTTTGGTAGTTTTTACCATTTATGAGGCATTTTTTCTGTTCTTTAAAGCGAACCACTCGGACATATTATGAACAATATTCGATTCATTTACAAATCGATTTTTTGCTTCTTCCCGAATTCAACTAGAGTTAGGGCCCCATAGTTGGCATAGAACCTTCAAATCGGACTGTGGGTGGAGCATTATTAAATTATCAAGTCAATACAGTAATTGAGCAGCTATGTTGTATATTAGTATATTGGCATAATTGCCAACTTATATTTACTCTAAGTCCTCAAGTCACACTGAACGATCTTGTATTTTTGTATTTGTTCAGAAAGTTGCATATAAAAAGAAAACTGCAAAGCAAATATTGGAACGGAAAGAAACTTGCACAAAATCGAAGTCGAAATTGTTGGACAAAATTAAGATTAAACTGTTAATTGCCTAAATTGATTGATCAAGAGCGGCATGCAGCCTGAAAGTATGCAATGCGCTGCATATTCTATATATATATTAGGCAGCGTGTAGAACTTGTCGAAGCTTTGATTGATCTTATATTTTTAGAGAGCACTACGCATAAAATTCTGAATTTGTAGCAAATTCGTACTCATTGTTCTGCTTAAATACATATGTATGTATTATTTATATATTTTTTTGAAATAAAATGTAGGAAAGTTAGGAAATACGTATAACGAAATGAGGGATGCATATACTTTAGGGGTGACAAAATTAATGATAATAAATTGCAAATGTGAAAATTGTTGCGACAATACGAGTATGTGAGATGTATGTATGTATGTAGCTGCCATAAACTGCTACGACTTTTTCTTAATATGCAGGTTTTTTGTTGTTGTATAAATAGTATAGGTATATGAATTATATACGCGCATGTTTATGACAAACAAATTTTACAGACGCATTTGCACGACCAGTTACCAGAAAACAAGAAATTCCAAATAAAAAAATTGCATTTAGAAATGTTACAGCAAAATTAAAAACCCGGCGTTAGTTGGTAATGCAAAATTAAAACAAATTAAGAAAATAAGAAAATACATTTTTTTTTGGTTGTTGTTGTTGTTGATGTAACAGAAACAAAGTTAAATGTTCCATAACTCAATACTGTCTACCATAATTTAAAGTTTTGTAAATAGTTTAGAGAGTATCAATTTTTTTTTTTTTGGTTTAATGGTTAGCATATTAATTTGATAAAGTTTCATTACATTTAAAATGGCGGCTGGCTGTGCGGCTGGAACTTCAGTGACCGGTTTGGCTGCCTGTAAAATTTATATATAATATAGGACAATTGGCGTTGTTTAGTTAAGCTAGCATTTAAAAGTAAACTGTTTGTAAATTAGATTAACTTAAGATTACACTTAAATGAACTTGAAATAAATTAATACTTTATTCGGACGCAGTTTCAATGCAAAACTTACCTGGAAGCGTAGATTTGGATCAGCGGATGCAGCGGCTGCTAAGAAGGGATCATAGTATACACTGCGAATATTGATGGAAAGAGTTTTGAGAGATGCACAAAGATTAATAATTCGGCTTGAAGTGGTGGTGTAATGAGGGGATTTTTAATGACAACCAAGCCAGAAAAAATTAAATGTTTTCTCTTTTCATTTCTTTGGCCTGGCTGGGTTGACATTTGTAAGCACTTGAAAGCAAAATTCAAAAATATTTTTTTAGTTTTTTCTTTTTTATACATAGGTAGGTTTTTTCTTTTAACGCACTTGTGTGATTTCTTTTGGACGCTATGAAATAAGGCAGTGATATTGGCTATAGAATGTTTGAGGATTGAAAACAAAATGGTAACAAAACGGTATTGTTTCTTCTTTTTTATATGGAGTACATATAAGAAAAGTAGTTCCAAGTTGAATGTGTTCAATATTATTTTAAATGCCAATTGTCATTGCCTTACGTTATTTGATTGTACCGGGTGCATTGGGTAAATGTCTGAAACTTAAGGCAGAACTGAAAAGTATAACACATACCAGACGGCGGGACTTATGTGGCAGAGAACAAAATAAAAAAAAAGAATAAGACCTAATTATGTATAAACGTAGCCCTAACTCTGCTGCCTAGACTCTGATCTGACTTATTCCCATGTGCCTACCTATCTGTAGTCCCCATGTCTTGATGCTAATTGTTGAATTGTTGTTGGTAAGTAAAGTAAGAGACAAAACAAATCATGGCACATTATTTTCATTTCATTCATTCGATCGCAAAATAACCCCAGTAACTACTACAGAAAATTAGCTTGCTGTTTCGGATTTAGACAGACACACTCATGCACCTAGCTATAGAGTTTGGTAGTTTAAATAATGTAGCATAACATTATCATACGCTATAGTGTTTTGTAGTTTTGTAGTATGTACTTAGTAACAGCAGCCACAATCAAATCAAACAAAAGACAAAATGTATGTATAGGTACGAGTATATAGTATGTACGTAAAAAGTATATAAGTTGGAAACATGCATGCGCACAGCTGCGGCAGCAATATCAAATTCATCATACGCCTAGTGGTACAATATACATTAAAAGTAGGTCCCTTAGCCATAAACAAAATGCCAAACTGCTGTCAGTCAAAAAGATATACATATGTGTGTGTGTGTGTTTGTGTGTAAATATACGAGTATATATTTGATGTAGTATGTATGTAGATGGAGTAAGTAGCGTGCTTCGTTAAGATTATATTTAGTTGCTGCTTTTACTTTTGTTTTGCTTAATTTTTTTTTTTGTACAAAAGAAACAAGTCTAAACTTGCGTAGTTGATTGGTTGGTTTTATTTTTGTAAGACTATGTGGCGCTATGCATTAAAAGACATACACACACACATACAAAATGTTGCTTCAAGGTAGCTAAAAATCACCGCATTTACCAGACAGAGAGAGCGAGAGAGATATATATGTATATAGTGAGATAATAAAAACACAAAACAACGTTAAAGGTAAAGCTATAAACAATTTTTGCGCTGGGTTTATGTAAACGAAAAGAAAATATACACTCATGCTTAAAATTATAAGCACACCAAGCTAGACTTTGCATTTACTGTAAATGTGTGATAAAAATCGTTTTATCAACATGCGTCTGAATTTTATTTGCATCAGTTTATTTGTTGTTTGTTTTTATTTTTGTAACTATGGCCAGTCATGCAAATGTGTGTCACATTTTTAAAATTTCCTTAATAAAGTACAATTTAATTGAAAAATTTACAAAGAAACTGTTTTTGGTGGAAACTGAAATAAAGGTCCAATAAACGACATTGAAAATTGTTGCTTTTAAGCTGAATAGAATAAGGAATTTTTAAGTCACTGGTAGAAGGAATAAACCAAGTCTATTCCACCATTACTGAACGAATCGATTGCTTCAAATGATTTTCCACCTTATAGAATGGGATTAAAAAATGAGGGAGCTTTAAAAGATAAACTTTAAACAAAGTATGAAGACTATATCTTTACTTTTACTGAACAATTCATTTTTAAAGCCGACAATTCTGTTTAAACAAATGTTGACGCAATTTTTTTCGTACTACACTTGTGGAGATCTTGTAGAAGAGTCCATGCCTTTATGTCGTTAATTTTATTGAAGCATTAGTAGAAGTTCTTTTGTTATCTATGGACGCAAACAACAATATACAGTTTACTTCTAGATACTATTTTAAAAGGCATCACGAAAAGATGATATAAAGCTGCAAATAGCTTGATGTAACTATTATTATAAGCAAGAGTGTAGGAGGGGTGTGTGTATGCTGAGTCGGAGTTGCTTGATTGTACACAACAGGGCGTATGAGCAATAAAAACAGCAGCAGCAGCTGAGCCGTACCAGTAATTCAAAGGCGAGAGTGTGGGTGTAGGTGTGTGTGATAATTAATTTGGCATGTGTTTCAATGCAGTGGGCGTGTCGATGTGTGTATGTATGTGGGCGTAACATGCGATGGCGGTTTCTTGTTGCTGCTGCTGCTACCACTGTTTTTACTGTTCTTTTTTCGCTTGATATGTTGTTGCATGAGGGATTTTTTTTAAAAGCAAGAGAACGACGAGCGCGAGCCAAAAAAAGAAAATATATATTTGTATATTTATTAACGGAAGACATCACACACGGAACAAAAATTAAGTGCGCTAAAACTACATTCAAACTAAAAATTGAGAGAAATGCTAAACAAAAATGTACAGAGAGCGTGATAGAGCGACAGATTTAAGAGAGATAAGATAGAGAGAGCGATACTACGGACTACTAAAGAGCTGATAATGACGTCGCTACTGCTTATCGACGCGATCAACAACTCTCTACTTACGGCGCAAATCCATGCAAAGCGGCGGCAGCGTTGTTGGCCGCATTGGCCGACGCCGCCATTGTTGCCGCAGCCGCAGCAGCAGCGGCCGGGGTTTGTGTTGCGCCTTGTAGGCGTGCAGCGTAGGCGGCAGCGGCGGCGGCGTTCGGATTGGCAGCGGCAGCAGCGGCTGCTGCTGCATTATTTTGAGCGGCGGCTGCAGCGGCCAAGGTATGTTGCAACGAATGCTGCTGGGCAGCAGCGGCGGCCGCACTGTTCGCGTTGGCAGCGGCTGCCGCTTGTAGGCCAGCGGCCGTGGGCACTGCAACAGCTTGAAGCGTGGGCTGCAGTCCCAGTTGGGGCAGGGCATGGGCATGCGGGTGGACATGGGCCTGTTGTTGTTGTTGCTGCTGTTGCTGCACTTGATGTGCGTGTTGTTGTTGCTGCTGTTGTTGTTGCTGCTGCTGGTGTTGCTGCTGCTGCTGTTGATGGTGCTGTTGTTGCTGCTGCTGCTGTTGGGCGGCTGCGGCAGCGACGGCGGCGGCAGCGGCCACCTGACGTTGCTGTTGTTGTTGCTGCGCAGCTGCAGCGGCGGCTGCCAGCGCCTGATGATGATGCGGATGATTGGATAGATGATGGAAGGGTGAGGCGCCGACCACGCCCACATGTCCACGTTGTATGGCAACTCCACGCATGGCAGCGGCGGCGGCTACGGCGGCTGTGAGGCGGCAACCCCATATAAATTTTTTTGTATTTCGGATTTTTTTTTTTTGAGGTACGATTTTACACAACAGTTTTACCAGTGTATGTGTGCGTGTAGTTGTGTGAGTGTGTGTGTGTGTGTTTATGAATGTGTTGTTGTTGTGTTTGCCACAAACGCATACAAGTACGTTTGTTTGTTTGTTTTATTTTGTTTTGGTTTTTGTGTGTATATTCGTGTGCAAAAAGTAGAAAAAAGGAAAAGAAAAGAACATAAAACGCATGCGGTTAGTTTCTCATTTATATAAGTAAATATATATTATATGTATATATTTATAGTATTTATGTAAATATATATATACGAGTATATATGTATATAAATGAATGTTTGCAAATTCTAGGCATTATATAATATATATGTATAATTCGTAGTCGAATCGATATAAAAATGTGTGAACGCAGTATGTGTAGATGATGATATATATATATATATATACATAAAGTAACAAATACATAAGACATAATTATGATGAAGATCGCTCGAAACATACTTAACATTATTAACATTTAATTACCAAGAAATGCTACGCAGTTTGTTGCTTAGTTTGTTGTTGTTTTTGTAAATGATTACATTATCGTAATAATAGTAACGCTTCCATTGTTAACAAATTAAATACGCAAGGAACATACGACCGATTTGGTTTAGTAATATATAGATATGCGGCAAGGCACTTTAAAAAATAACTCATTGCAGTTTATTTTTGCTGGATGGTGTAGTGTGTGTTTGTGTTAGGGGTTGTAAAGCAATATAATACATATTATAACTAAGACCCTTGCACCTTACATACATGTGTAATAAAGCTAAAAAAGAGACTAGCAAACATTTATTTAAAGGGGAGTATTGAAAATGCTTGGGTATATGGAATGGGAAGGGGAAATTAAAGTAAAAATTTGCAAATTGTTCAAGAAAAGCAGTAAGTGCTGCCGCTAGGAGGTTTAATAGCTTGCAGCTTTTGCATGTCAAACATTCAGAGTGAGTAGCTTTTGCTAATGACTTAAACAACAGTGTTGAAAAGCGAGCAATTACTCAAAACTGTGTTGCTTTTCAATAGTTGCCAGAGAGCATAAAAAATTGCTTACTTTGCAGCTTGAGTGCATTTTACATTTTGAGAGCAATAAGCAAATCGAGGTTTATGGATTGCAGCGTTTACAGATGAGATATTTTAGCAATTAGCTTGAAATGTTTTAGATGCGCATACATACGTGAGGTAGCGATCAGTACAAAACTTGCTTTTATTTTTCCTGAGCTTTGGTTTCTTATTGAAATTTTTCTCGGCGTTTAATAGACCTACATACTTGTATGTGCATAAATATGATACATTTACTTGAATTAAATGGAGCAATTCTTATTTAAAATAATTGCTTCGTTAAGCATTTAGATGGAAATATTGAAATGAAAATTGCAATTTGGAAATGTAACAAGTAATCTTTTGATTTATTGGTTGCAGCATCTGTGAAGTTATTGGCAATTTTCGTAATTGAAATAATTGGCGCTATGTTAATAATTTGCCTAACACGCACACATTCTATGGCAAAAGTATTTACAAATGAAAAAGCATTTAACAAGTGAAAGCAACAAAATTATCAAAATGTTGGTGGCATGCAACATAAAATCGAAAATTTTACGCAATTGATTTGCAATGCGTACGATGATTTTGACATTTCAATTAAGAGGCAAAAATATTGCTGGGGCAATTCAAAAGGAGACGGGAGACGGTTGAATGGTGGCCTAAGCCAAAGTAGAATCAAACGGAAAACTTTCAAGCGTGCACAAACTGCAATTTGCTAAACAAATGTGGAGAGAGGAAATATATAAATAGATAGATAGAGATAAAGAGAGATACAGAGTGTATATGCGCTAAAAAGAAACGTAGGTAGGTAAAAATGCTAAAAAAGTATGCCTTACAAAATGCTTGCTGCGCAAAGGCTAACGTTTTTGTATTTAAACTAGATAAATATATATGTATGTATAGGTAGGTAATTAAAGCTAAGTCCTGTCACATACTTAACAGCTAGGTTACACGTTTTTGTTTTTGCAGTGGTTGCCACTAGTAATGATTTCATTATTTGTTGTTTTAATATGTTGTGCCTAGCCGTATAACACAATGCAGGCGGTCTATCAGTCAAGGGTACGGCGCCACAAAGTATGCAAACCCAAAGGTAACAGAAGACCAAGACAACAAAGATATGTGGGTAATGCAGATTCTATGATACATCTCATAGCTAAGAAGTGAGTGAGTGATGGTTGTTGTTGTATTTAGTTGCTGTTCTTGATAAGAGATGTATTTAAATAAATATCGATGTTCTAAAAATATATGTATTTGTGGTCAAAGATTTGGTTGATTTTTATTGTTGATGTTACGAAACAGACGAACATAATTTAAAGAGCAATATAAATTGAATAATTGAATGATTTCTGAAACATTTTCGTTAATTTTATGAACAAAATGGGATAGCATCCGTTAAGGAATTATAGAAATTAAAGAATAAAAGTTGCCAGTTCAGTTGCAAATTAAATTTTTACAGTAATTGAATTAATTTCTATGCTTTAAAAGGAGAAAAAACGGATTTAAATCAATAAAGCTCTGTGGTGCATGATTAACAGTCGCCAATTCAAGATAAAACAGAAGCAAAGACAAAAAGAAGGTATTTTCAAATAATTCGATATTTATTTATACATCCCCATTTTTGAGTTAAAGTATGGTCAGACATGCAAATAGTTTGCATACAAATTTTGAAAAATAAATCTTTTTTCGCTGAAAAATGTTGTTGGTTTTGATTTCGTTACATACTTGTGATACTTTACAAAAAATCTTTGCCTGTCTGACCATAAATTTTGTTTTGTGTTGCGGCCGAATAGAAGATATCCATATTATGTATGTATAATTTGGGTCTGTTAAATTTTTGAATTCTGCTTTTAGGCGATTGTGTGTGCGCGCACACACACATAATTAAGTTCAAACTCAATACCTCCGCCTCGGCGTCGATGCTGCGGGCGCTGACGTTGGCACGGCGTTGTGTGGTGGGCGTGGCGCTAGAACAATGGGCGTTGCAGCAGCGGACGGTGCATTAGCTGCGGCGGCTGCCGCGGCTACTGCTGCTGCCGCTGCCGAGGGCGATGCATGACTGCCTGGCAGCGTGGGCACGGGCACGGGGAGTGGCATGGGCGTCAATTGGGCGCTGGCACCGACGGGTGCACCCAAAAATGGCCAGGCGGTCATAGGTAGGCGATAACCTTGAGGTTTCATTCAATATTGATTGATTCAAATAAATGTTGTCTTTTGTTAGCAAGGTTCAAATGCTGTGTTGTGTGAGTAGTGTTTGTTTCGAGTGTATTCGTTTGTGTGATTATTTACACAATTACAGTGAGTGTGGATCGAATGCTTAGATCTAGAACTAAAACGCGCGTTTCGCATGTTGCCACGAGTTACCATACATCATAGGATATATAAATATATAATTACGCTAAAGAGCATTTCAGACATGTTCGATCCAAAAACAAAAAAATGTACGTATGTAGAAAGATAGAGAGAGATTACCAGGAAAACGCATAACGAACTCAGGACAAAAGAAAGAAAGAAAAAAAAAAACAAAACGCACATACAACATAACGTTAAAAAGTATTGTCAAACAAAATTTCTTTTACATATTATTAAATTATTTATGAGGTAATATAGTAATGTGGTATGCAAAGACAACACAGCCGCAATATGCTAAATTCATAACGCAATCATCACCATTATGAGCATCAGTATAATCATTATCATCATCACCATCATCAATATCATTATTATTAATGCTAAGTAAAGAAAATGACGACGCGCCTGTTGCTTTTTACTCTCGATAATTTTTCTTGAGGTAGGTGTTAATGTTGTGGCTTATACGGTTTGTTTTATATATTTTTTTCAATCGAACTTTGGTTATAATGCAAAATTAAATGACGCACAAAAAAAAAACAGTTACAAACAGTTATCAAATAGTAGGTAGTATTATAATATGCATAATATATGTTGTTGTTGCTTCGGTACATAATTAACGCAATTTCAGTTACACTTGCATACCTGCGGGACCTACCAAAAAAATATAAACGAACGCATAAATTCAATCGAAATTTTAAAGAATAAGAAAAAGTTGAACTAAAATACAAATTCATATATATATATATTGTGTGTTTTGTGAAGTAAATACAATGAATTGTAGTTAAATATTAATTTGCGTAGCTAATCAAAAAACTTTATACATCAGGAAGGGCGTATTGTATTGTTGAGCCTAACAGAAACTGCCTAAGTTGAAATGCTTCCTTTGATTTTTCATATAATATTCATATTCATATTTACGTAGTTTTGCGAGAGAGCTTACAGACTAAAATGTTGAATGACTTAGGTTTAAAATGGTTTTAAAACTGATAATCAATGTCTATGTATATTTATGTAGTCGCTTGAGTGTGGTTTGTCAGTGTATTTATGTAAATATATATATTATATATAACTTGCAAGATTACAACGAAAATGTTGGCAGGCAAAAAATGTATAGAAATATTGAACAAACGCTTACCTTCAGGCCATTGTACACAAACTGTTTTTGTTGTTGTTGTGGTATGTGGATTGATTTTTATTGTTTTGTTTTTATTATATTTTTATTGATATTTTGATTGTCGGCATGGAAAGGTAAGAGAAAAAATATAAATTAGTTGTACTCATAAAAAATTGGTAAATAATATTTAATACTTAAAAGTTAGGCACAAAATACACGCAGCTATTACAATTACGAGTGTAATTTATTTATAGATTTATATATAGAGTTGACACAAAATATTGAATTGTATTGGCATAGTCAAATAGCATATGTGTATATATCGCGGGGGTGGGGAGGGGGCTTAGTTCGGCATGCAGCGATTTTGTATTTTTTGTTTATTTATACATACATACGTTCATAATGCGATTTACATTTTAAGTTGTGCACATGGCATGTGCACGGCATTTGGCATGCTGTTTGATCAGACATTATTTTATTGTTTATTTCTTTATTTTTATGCACATGTTCAACATGCAACAAACATTTAGTGGCATGAATAATGTGCGATATGTTTTCAATTCATATGCATTCTACATAAACTAGTACGTAGTAGAAATTGCTGTCAGTTAGCGCACGAAAGTATGCAAAGAAATTTTCCGCTGCCTTAGCTTCAGTTGTGAACATGTTCGTATAGTAAGTATTTGTATGTATGTTTGTGTGTAGTAAGACCGAGGAGAGGGAGAGCAAACAAAGGCACATTGCAAAAATAAACCATATAACAACAAATATGAAAAGTTGTTGTTGCTGCTGCCTCTGCTGCCTTTGGTTATTTTCATAGCAATCTGCTTACATTCGAACGCTTCGCTGAACGCGCAATGAGCAACGACAAAAGGAATTGTGGGGCGATATGGAAAGCAGGGGCAGCGCAGCTGCAGTTTTGCTATGCAAATGTTTAAACTATAATAGGAAGCAACTACACCAACAAAAAAGAATAAAAAAATAAACTTGACCTGCTAGGGCTTAGGGGAACCTGGATACCAAGTTTGGTAATTCTAGGTCTTGTACCTCCTGAGATCCTTGCGCTCATACAGACGGACGGACGGACAGACGGACATGGCTAAATCGACCCTGATCAAGAATATATATACTTTGGGGGTCTGCCACGCCTCCTTCTGTGTGTTACATACATTCGCACAAAACTAGTATAGCCTTTCACCCATTGGGTACAGGCTATAAAAAAGTTCAAAGTTCATTAATGGGCAGAGCAGGAAAACTTACGATAGCATCAATAGCACCACATACTATTGAAGAATTGAAGCTAGAATATTAATTATAGAGCTCCAGTTTAATTACGTATTGTTTATCTCGCTTAGTTATTTTAATTAAAAACGAGTAGAATTCTTTCAATATTTCAAACCGTTTTACTTCGGTGTGAAAACTTAAATTTTCATTATTTTAATTTTATCAAAAATTGTGTAGTTATCAATGAATGGTGACAAATGGTACTTGGTTAGCTAATATGCTACCAAATAAATCGAAGTTGTTGGCCAAAAACATGCCACTGTTGAAGTCGCATTAAGTTTACCATGTCAAAAGATCAGGGCAAACGAAGAAAAAAAGAAGTGTGTCGAGCCGTAGTGTAGGAATCAACATATATATAAGACAAACTTGCTTAAAATGCACAAAGTCTGTACAAAGTACAGGGAGAGAAAAAAAGACAAGCACATTTGCATAAGACACAACAAGGCATATACACACAACTAAACCGAAAATAAAATGCAGTGACGGCCCGCAAGGGTGCTGCACAAATTGTCTCTCTTGCTCTACATGTGTGTGTGTGTAGAGCTAAAGAGGAAACTTTTTGAAATTTATGTGTGTGCCGCCGCTTGCCGGCTGCGCAACATGTTTGCAACTTTGTGGTTTATTTGTAATTATCCTGCCGGCTGCCTGCTAGCCTCAAGCCACGTAACGAGCAGGACAACAAATACAAATACAAGTATAACAGCAACAGCAACGTCACAAGGTCGTAATGGGGCAGGCGATTTGCCAAGCGGCCAACATGCAAAAAAGCCGTAAAAACCCGTCGAGCAAACTGCACTCCGTGCGACGTGATAAAGTGACTGGCCAGAATTCAAACTCCCGGGTGTGTGTGTGTGTGTGTGTGTGGTGTGTGTGTGTGGTGTGTGTGTGTGTGGGCAAGTCTTGACTATTTCTATAATATGCTGCGTTCGTTTAAATTGCAAGCATTGAGGAGCTGATAGACATATAGACAAGCCGCTCCTACTACTTGTATTTAGTGCAACTGAAATGATGCGCATTACGTGCACATGGCCAGCTTCTGCAAGCAGGAGTGGGGCCATCAGGACATAAGCCAGCCAGAAGATGCTGGCAGAAAAAGTTAAAGATGCCACATGTTAGTCTGCCACCCTAACACCAGAAACACCCACACCTTTTCCCTTTAAATAAGTTTGTTGGCAATACAAAAGCATTTTGCATAGAAGAAGAAGGCAACGATGATGATGTCTGCTGCCAGAGCTAACTTCTCCGCTGGGAAAAACTGAACCAAGTACAGCATGGCCTGAGCAGCCGCCATTTGAGCCGCTTTGCCGGCGTTCTGCTACCAGCTCTCTCCCAGCCTGACTTGATATGGCCCATCATCTTACCGGGTTGGGTTGGGTTGGTTGGTTTGTTGGTTTGGACTGGTTCGGTTTGTAAGCGGCTTATCGTATTGAGCGAAACTAAAGTATAGATTTTGCGCTGTGAATACTTTTTAATGGCAAAGGAGAAAGTCGATTTAATCAGCAGTATTATTTATTATACATGGCATGAAAAACTTTACCGACTAGCACTTTTTCATCTCTCTTTTTTTTTTTTGATGAAAAGTTTGAACAGCTTCATGTGAAATTGTGCGAAATGTAGAAAAGAAAATAGCTCGTGGGAAGATACTTCAAAGAGACTAAAGAATTGGTCTTAAGGTTGAGTGTAATTCAAAATGGTGTACAATGGCAGAGGCACAATACATATTATGCATATTCTTTTTGAAAAACAACTTCAGCTCAGCCAGACAAAAATATATTTATACAAATTTGTTCCATCAAGTCTCTTGAAAATAAAACTGAAAAAAAGAAAAAATTAAACCTACGGTAATTATAATGAGCTAGAAATTTGTTGGCAAATTATTTCAATGTCTGACCACATCTAAAGCTATTTCTATGTACAAAGCAAAATGTTTTATTTTGGTGGTTTATTGAAGTCTGAATATTTTTGGATATATGTATTCGGATAGTTCGCGGATATGCCAGTTACATGAGGAAATATCTCAAAAGTATTGTCTCTCTTCAATCGTAAATCACACAAAATTCTACCAATTATTGCCAAAAATTCGTTAATGGTACACCGTTTCTAATGAAAATATTGAACACGGATAGAATATTTTAATAATATTTCTCCAAAACAATTACTAAATAGTATACAGGGCGCATCGAAATGTAAGGGCCAAGTTAATGTGCACAAATGTCACCAAAAAGAAAGACATCATTAAGGAGCCAAAAAGCGAATATAATCTTGTCCATTATGACAAATGGAAATCCGAAACTAATGCTGTGTTCTGTTTCCAACAGTTTTTTGATCGTGCAAAATATATATTGGGTCGAAAGTTGCTTTTTTTTTGGAATGAAATAAACTCATTTTGCCAAAATATTAATTCCTGTTTACTTTGCTAATGGAGTTGGCAAAATGATTTTTCATATTTTCAAACATTGATTTGTAATATGCGGACGGATGACAGGCACTGTTATGGTTCAAGGCACCAGAATTGTGTATAAATTAGAAATTTGATAACTTAATAGATGTTGTCTGTTTCAAAATTTTCTGTCAAGGGATATAAGTACAATTATATTTCATTTATATATATAGGTTTAGGGTTATGGAATTTCTGCTTTTAATCATGCTAAATATTTTGGAATTGTTATTTTTTGACTTGTATACAGATATTTGATTTCATTATTTTTGATGTGTTATGCATTTAGCCAATTAAGGGTTGCATTTTATGAACAGCAGTAGTTAACATGCAACATTCCGGGCACATAGGGTTTACATTTATGGGCACTGGAAGTTTCAGTTTATAGTTTATTGGACAACAAACAGTGTGTATGCAATTATTTAAGAGAGTTCATGCCACATGGCAAACATTCAGGTTAATATTATTATTATAATAATTATTGTTGTCGGCAAGCAAGTTAAAAACAAATAAGAAATGCATATCATTTTAATTTGTTCTCTTGTTTGCTCACCTAGAGCTGGAGCCGGAATGGCACCGTCTTTGGTCAGTACAACTGTGTAGTGTTTGAGAAAAACAATAAGTAAAGAAAAAATATAATGGAAATAAGTGTCATCATCATCATCATTAAAAACCATCATTAATATCATAATACTAAACAACAGACTCATTAAACATTAAGTTAGTGAAATGTTCACAGTAATCAATTAAAAGAACATTGCAAAAAATGATTACTATTTCTTTTTTGCAGTGTGTGTGTGTGTGTGTTTTAGATTTCAAAAAAAAAATGTTTGTTAGCGCCGCAACCCGAATGTTAATAAATGGCAAACCAGTTAACAAGTTTTCGGTTTTCTTGCCTTGGCACACATACATATTAACGTTAAATGGTAAAGCAATAACATTTTCAAGAAGAATACATTCATTCAATCGTTGTTGCAGCCGCCAAAAACTCAAATAAGAATTCCTTGGCACCCACAAGAACTCTGGAAAAGTTAAACGAGAAATGAAAAGTGCTGAGGCAACGCCGGCGCCAGCGCCAGGGCCAACAACACCAACAAGAACAATAAGAGAAAAGGCCAAAATGTTATGGCATTTGTTGTTAAACTTTTGGAATTGCTTGTATTTGTTGTTGTTGTTGCTAGCTGTTTTTGTTGCCTCTGCTCCAGCTGCACACTTTTCATTTCTGCCAGGCGGGCGTAATTGCATTTCTTTGTTCAACATTTAAACTTTTTCCCTCGCATAGCTTAAACTTAGAATTGCAGCCGTTTGTATCTGTGTTCTATAACTTAGTTGTTGTACTAGTAGTAGTAGCAGGTAGTGCTGTGTATGTGTGTGTGTGTGTGTGTGAGAAAGAGTGTTAGACAAACTTACCGTTGGGTACTGCTGTCACTTTTTTGGTTTGTACACGTGCAGTGGCGTTATTCACCTTCACAATGTTTATTTGATTTTTAGCAATAAAGGTACGAGTTGAGTTGCACAGCGAGCGTGTTGGTTGGTTGATTGGTTGGTTGGTTGGTTGGTTGGTGATGGAGTTTGGTTGATATTGTTTGATAGTTTCATAAATATATAGAAAATGTATATAGAAACAAATTAGGTGTTAGTTAACAATTGCATTTATCAGTGTTCTTTTTTTTATTATGTACTAATGTCTGTTGTGTGTGTGAAGAGCGTGCGCCTGATTCTGAGCAACATTGCAAAATTGAACTACACTAGAACAGATATGGTAGCGAAGTTTGTAAAGTATCGGATTGATATGGGATCGTTGGTGCGGCAAATAAATCAAAGCATAGAGGCTTTTGATATAACCCACGTAAATTGAAGTTGAAAGTTAAACGGACTTGCCTAATTAAGTATTCGCATTCAATTTCGAACTGTTGCTGTAAATGTATTTAATAATTTGAAATGTTATCGAAAATCTCAACCAGTTCTTTCTCATCCATCCTTGCCGTTTTTAAAAAAAAGTATCTTTTGAAAACGAGCACGATATCGAATATTTACATTCAATATCTATTCAAAATTGTTGCTTTACAAGTATTTAATACTTTGAAATATCGAAAATCCTACCAAGTTCTTATTATTATTCTCTTCCATTCTTGCGTCATTCAATATAAAGTATAAAATACGCTATCGCAACGGACTTGATAAGTGAAATATCCACAGGTTATTGGGTATTTACTATTGCTTTACAAGTATTTAATACTTTGAAATGTTATTGAAAATCTCAACTAGTTTTTATTCCTCTTCCATTCTTGCCTCTTTTCAAATGAAGATAAAGCAATCTGAGTACTCAATGCCCACAAACCGATACTCAACTCGTTCTACTTTTTTTCCTTTTCTACTTTTCTCGTCCATGCTTTGTACTGCCAGCCATTTTGAATGCATCGGAAGAATAAGGGGGAAACCAACACTGCTGCTGCCCTTTAGACACCACATATAATTAGTCTGACTGATTGCAAATAAGAACATTTTTAACAGCCATTTATTTTTGCCTCAGCACTTTTGCGCATTTTCAGCATATTTAAAATGCCAATTATTTGTGGCTGCTCATTTGTAATTAATTTTTAATGAAAGGCAAATAAAGGGAAAAAAGAATATGGTTCAACAAAAGCGATTCTGCACAATTTAAAAATCAATTATAGGCTGCTTATAATATGCACGCATGTACAACATGTACAAATGGTTTGTGGCAAGTAAATGGCTTAAATACATTTTAAATGCGGCTCGAATCAAGAGAAGAAGTGAATCTGAAAAATCAATGCTACCTTTGCAATTGCGCAGCTATTTTAATATTTAATTTGTGTTACGGCGACACGAAACCGTTAATAAACAACTGATACAGGGTGGCTATAAAAAAAAAAAAACAACTCTCAACTCTCCTCTAGAAAATGATGATATATACTAATATTTATATTTACATTTATAATTAACAATTAATGCAATTTTGGACAGTTTTAAAAAATAATTTGGTTTCAAAAGGAGCGTACTTTAAAAAGCAGGAGGTTTCACGAAAATTATAAAAAATGCTGCTGCTGTTCTTTTTTGATTTCGACTGCACCAATAATAAATTTATCTACTATTTATTTATTTATTCTCTAACCAAAAATAGAGAGAGAGAGAGAGAGAGGAGAGTTGCAAAGTTATGTGCATACTCAAAAAGTAAGATTGTATAAAGAGCATAAATTTCAAAACATGTATTAAAACAGGTACACAATTTTCATTCTGATCAAATTGGTTTTAAAAGTGCTGGATTTTGTATACTCTATAAAAATGTATAACAATTCAGTTGTTTTATAAACGCCCTGTTTGTTAGTCTTACTGATCAAAAAGTTCATTACTTGCTGCTTTAAGTTTTAGTGTTAGCTTGCGATAGATTTGCAATTAGTTGCAGCTATTAGCTAAAAATCTAAAGGCGTGTGTGTGAGTGTGTGTGTTTTAGATGTACATATGTATGTGTGTATTATGTATTGATTTCATGCACCCACCTCGATTTTGCGTCCCTCAACCACGGTGCCGTGTAGACGTTCGCGTGCTCGTTCTGCATCGTTGCTGTTAGCGAATGTTACAAAACCGAATCCCTGCCATTCGCAATCAAACATGCAATTAAAAAAACATATAGAGTATATATATATATTTATTGCTATAAAGTATATACGATTTTTGCTTTATGCTAAGCTAGGTGGTAAAAGCACAAAAATCACAATAAACAATGACAAAGTAGCTCTAGAGATCAGCGCTGTAAACATACTATACATGCAGGATTGGGTCGGAGTGGCCAAGGACCTGGCACCAGAGGATTTGCTTTAAACGGAGGCAGCATGCAAGCGCCCCATGCTGTAGCTCTTTCCGTACATATATTTATCTTTATTGCCAGCTCCTCTTAAATTGTGCCAGATATGGATATATATTTCTTGCTGTTGCTTGGTTTGTGTTTGGAGCTTTATGCGCCCGTAACTATGCAATTACTTTTGTGCTTCATTCACTTATAATGTTGTTATGGCGCAAGTGTTGAAGCTTGTTTAGAAAAGGCACAAGAACATTATGCTCATAAATGCCGGACAAGTGATATTTGAAGCTTTTCATGTAGCATCAGAAGCAACTAAGGCAACGGCTTCAACAAAGTTGCAGGTAGCGCTGGCAACGGGCACAAAAAGGCATGGAATATGGCAACTCGACGCACAGCCTTTGGAATGTGCAAAGTTTAAAGGAATTGTGATAGATGGAACAGAGATAAGGCGCTAGTTGTGCATGCTGCACATTTAATTAAAGCTATAGGTAAAGCCAAATAACAGTAGCATAAAAGCTATAACTAGGGGGTAAATGGAAAATCAGGTCATGCCACAGAAACTTACCTTGCTGCCACGTTCATTGAAGATGATTTCCACATCCAGTATAGTGCCAAATTGCTAGAGAATGAAATGAATGGAGTGAAAGAAATGTTCGATTATTTTTATAAGCATATACATACATTGGTATTTTGCTTAAACTATTACAAAATTGTCTTTTCCTAATTGTAAGAGTGTAAGTAGTACCTTGGTGTTTAAACAAATAAAGTTGTTATTATTTATTACGAAGCTTCATTCTATGAGGTGTACAGAAAATATTTGGTTTAGGCTATATAGACATCTGACATGCAGAAAATTAAATTTCAGTCCTCATCCAAAACGGAATAAAATAATGGGATCCAACGGAAGTAATCCTAATAGAATTTCTTGTAATTCTCTTTAATTTTCTTGTTTTTGAACTTCTGGAAACTTATGGAATAGAGCTTCATTTAAAAAAATATTATGGGAAGTCTACAAAAAAGAAATATATAAAATTCTTATGACTTGGACTCTTCAAAGCAATTAAGATTCGAATACGTTGCATTGATTCACTTTTCTTAATCTTAATAAATCTTATGAAAGGAAAATACATTTTTGTATTACCTAAGTTTCTTTAGCATGTTGAACCTAGCTCCTTTAACTAATAATTTTTTTTTTAAATAAAAATAAAAGTATTTACCCCAAACATGGCGCGCAGATCTGGATCCCGGAAGCGAAACGGTATATTGGATACGTGCAAACGCTTTGGCTGACTTTTGGCATCGATGGCGGCCGCAGCGGCGGCAGCGGCTGCGACTGCAACAGCGGGTACCGGTTGGGCCGGGACTAGAGCGCTCGTTAGACTAGTGGCCACATGGGGTGGCGATTGCACGGAGGCGGTCATAATACCGCTAGCTGCAGCAGCGGCCGCATTAAGGTGGGCAATAACCTGTGAGGTGCTGGCGGACACACCATTGGACGTCACACAATTGCTGTCCAGGCCGGGAGTGGCGCTGACTGTGGGGAGTAGACCAACAGTGGAGCTGCAGCTGGTGGCGGCCAATGTGCCGGCTGCTATTGAGCTGGCCGTGACCGAGGTGGCTGCCGGCTGCACCACCGCACTGCTGCTAATGCTAAGTGGTTGTTGTGTGGGTGGTGTTTGCAGCAATGGTTCGTTGTTGCTGCTACCCATTGGCTGGGCAATTGGTGATGTGTTGCCTGAGACGTTTCCATCGTTAGCATTCCCATTGAGGGTTGCTTGAGCGACAACGGAGGCGGCAACTGGGACGCTGGACGGTGAGCTGCTGAGCGGTGAGCTGGGCGGACCGCCGATGTTGCCCACTACTGTGTTGTTTTGCTGCTGCTGCTGTTGTTGTTGTTGCTGCTGTTGCTGCTGCTGCTGCTGTTGTTGTGCGTCCTGTTCGCTTTTAATCAATACTGTGGACTGTGTGGACGCAGAAAGAAGAGAGAAGGAGAAAAAGAGAAGCACAAATTGAAAAAAATAAATTAGTGAAATGCGACGTGGTTGGATTTTTAAATAAAAATTTAATGCTATAGTTGGATCGGCGACTGCCACTGTCTTTGCTATTGTTGCTGCTATTCTTCTTGTTGTTGTTGTTGTTTATGTTGCTGCAATGCATGACAAATCGAATGCGAAAAAGTGCCGCAATAAATAAACAATTGAAATGGAAATACAATTTTCAAGTGGTTGCCAGAGCAGCTCACACACAATCACATACATACATAGACATACTTCGACACATACGCGTATACACACATACTTGTACATATGTATTTGTAGGTGTGTATTTGTGTGTGTACGACCCAATAAAAAAAAAAAGTTACAGCACATGCCATTGCTGTTCGAAACGGAAACGAAAACGCACGCAGATAGCACACACAGCCACATACTCTCATGAATGCACCCACACATATTCTCCCCGCGCACAGAAACATACTCTTCTCACACATTTGTGGCACAAACTTCTGTTGACTTATGCAATAAAACTGTCGCGCAAACTGTTGCAAAAGCAGCGCGAACCGACGGGCGACCCTGCGGAAATGTTTGCATTTGTATTTTTGCATTATTAAAACTGCAAATGCAGCAGCATGCCACATTCGCTCTGGCATTGTGTTCGAGTACTCTATACCTCCCCCCCATTCCACTCTACTCGGATCTTGCCCCACCACACTTGAGATTTGAATAATATGAAAATTGTCAATTTACGCGCCCGCCATGCAGCAGAAAAATTACAAATAGCAATAAAAATGTTTGCACTTCGCCACCATGAGGATAGGAGGGTCACGTACATATAGACCTTATATGGATAAGGATCAATATTTAAGAGATAGAAATGATTTGGTAGGTACTTCAGTTTAAATCGAAGATTATGTGAAAAAGTTGTGCAACTGTCGAAATATTTTTGAACTACACTACACATATGGGATATCGGATAGCGTAAATAGAGAGAACTAGTTAACGACTTGATATTGCATTCGTATATAATGCCTTAAGTACATTTAATTAGCAAATTTTAGATCGAAACAATACTATATAGTTATTATCGATGAGATAAATTTGCCATTTTGCTGCCATTCCATCTTTTGTTTACATTTTAATTGACTTTTATAAATTAAATAGATTTGCTTTAATATTGTACATTGTGGTTACAATTCGTTTGACAGAAACATAATAATTAACCTGATTCGTGTCTTTAGTACTATGACGACTGAGAAATAATGGAACAGTGCTAGAGGACTACATAAGATATGTAATGCTGGCTCCTGACTATGAAATATCAGTACTGAATGCAGCGAAGGAATAGCTCACTCTAATTAGGTCCGATTAAGAGAAATAAAGTATTCCTTGTTATAGAATTCAATACTAAGAACATTTTGTGCTTCAGATAAATTTTAATAATTATTGAAATAATATATTTAAAGTATTGTTACAAATAAAAGAGGCCTGACGAATCGGTCTTTCAGTTCAATCGTTTAAATGAAATTTCGAAACGAACAAAATTCCAGCAATTAATTGATATTTAAGATTTTATCCACATAGTGCTTGAATTCGTTGTGGCATGTGCTATAATGTAGGCAATAGAACTGGCGCTTAACTTAATTTTTGTGCCACCATCAAATGCGCATTGTTGGCACATATATCTAAACAATTTCGAATTTGTATTACAACAACCAATGCACGGCATTGTTACATATTTTATTTCCATTCCTTTGGTTTAGCTTGCATGTTTAGGCGACATTTTCTTTCCTTTTCTTTTTTTGTTGTTGTTGTTTTGGGTGCTGCCCAAACTAAAGTGGCGTGAAAAAATTTCAACGTATAAATGACTAACGACAGGCGAAGTGTAGGAATGGAGGCAATGCGAGCGGGTGGCTTTATTGTAACTGCATTAAATGACATTTAGCGCTTTTTGGAGTTAAATGTCACCCCTTTTTTTTCGGATTTATCAACATCATCGGCACGCGACAAAAAAACCGAAAACGAAAAAAGGTTCACAGCAAAAAGGTCGTCGCATATTGGCCGAGATTTTTTCGTTTGGGTTCGTGCATACATTTTTGCATAATTTTAAAATTTGTTTGTATGTGGCCCAAGGTGTTCGAGTCGAGGTATTTCGGCTATGTTTGTATGTAAAGGGTGAAGGTGTTCGGGCAAGGTGTGTGACATCGGTTGAGAAAGCGTTTAATCGAACTATATGGGGAATGTATGTTGCTGGCACGGTTTAAAGGAATTTTGAATTTATTATCCTAACATGGATTGTTTTGTAATTGTAATATCATTAGTAGCTAGTTTACAATTTGTTTGTAGATATCTTACAGCTAATATATGACAGCTTATTTATTATAACGGCCTAGTGCAGCATACGTGTGTTTATTAAATAACTGAAACAATATATTCACAACACGCATGCCTTAAATTAGTAACGATTGCTTTATGTTTCACGGTCAGACATGCATTTTACTTAAATATAATTTAAGGCGCGGCTTTTTCACCTTTGTACAGATTTCTCAAACTTCATATGATGATTAAGATTGCTATTGGAAAAACGATTTTAAAGTTCAATGAGTTACGTAAAAATGTATAACTTTTTCGTTTAAATATCTGATCAGCGTTTAGTTCACTTTCCATACTTGTTGAGAAGTATAAGCCATAATTAGCATTTAGATCATTTTATCATACCATAAGCGCTCGAGTTGCAAACTTTATGGCATAGAGAATTGAAAATATATTCTCCAACAAAATATTTAATAAAAGCATGAAAAATATGCAAATATAAAAACACTTTCATTAAAATCTCAGCTCATTCATTGCGTGTGAGCTGATTAAAAATGAATTCATTAATTAACTTATCAACTTTTTCATGACGCTGCGCAAACTTTTTGCTTCATCACAAAAAGTGATAAAGAATCTGACGCAAAAAAAGCGTACTAAATAAATACGGAAAATTCGTTTAAAAAATAATAGAGAAAGACATGGAAAATATTTAATTTTAAGTTGTTTTAAACTTCATCTTTCTCTTTTTAATTGACGGCACATAACGCCATTTTAAAGCTTGTCCATATTTTTTCTTAACCTACACAAATAACAAAAGAAACTACGTGCGTAGCAAATTAAATTTGATTAATTTGTGAAATGGCGAAACAAGAAAAAAAAAGAAAGAAAAAGGGGATGCCTTAAAACTCGCAATCACTCGCGCAGAACTTGACGCAGAGTAAACAAAGGAAAAATAATTGTTTGGTTGCAGTTATAAAAAATAATTCAAATTGAAATGCAAAACAGATGCACGTGGCATTAAAATGGGCACAACAATAAAAACAATGCTCGTGATAATGATGATGATGAGGATGTTGAAGATGACAAAGAAGATGCAAAAAGTAGTAGACAGATAGTAAGTTTCATGTTCATTGAGGTGGGGATTTAATGCTGCAAATGGCACTGATTCCAAGTTGAGTTGCAGGTTCATTAACTTCATTATAGATACAGCCCTATGGAGTACTTTAAAAAAGTGAGAAGAAGCCTATCTATGAGATAGCAATCTGTATATGATAATATGACTTACTTATCAATTTGGACGTCCTTTAGATATCAGCTGAATTTATAAGCCATAGTTAGACAGTTGCAGATTCATAAGTTTGTATATTGTGCTGAATATATATTGCTATGGTCAGACAGACAAACAATTTGCACACAAATTTTTCTAATTTACGAAGTATTAACAGATCTTTAAGATATTATTTAAATGGCTTACTTGTTGTAATAAACGAAGTGCAAATTATTCTTACCTATTTTTGTTTGTTTGTTACTGTATTAGAGGACTGCATGAGTGGATTTCAAATATAGTAATCTTTTTTTAAAATATTGTAAAACGACTATCAATATATATAAGTACTATGTCCTACTATACTACTAAGCATTATAGATATATTTTGTTTTTATTTCCGAAGTATTTACTAGTATGTATTAAAAGTATGGGATCTTCGGCTTGAAAAAATAGAAGAATTAAAAATTATTTGTCTGATTTTTAACTGTTAATTTTTTTTAAATCTTTGATAACTAGATCTTAATAAAGATGTTCAAATATAATAGTCATATTATGCCAAATACGGAGCTAGAAGGCGTAGTAGTGAGGAGTACATTTTGAAATGAAGGTTTCTTATTATGCATGAAAGATAAAAGAGTCACAAACCTACTATATGCCTCCAAGGCTTGAAAATTATTATAATATAATTAAGACCAAATACATCAAATCTGTATAACCTGGATCGTAAAAAACTTGATCAACTTTAAGCTCAGTTTGAAACCAGTGTCATTTGGGCATTTATGAGGATGCTGGGAGTGAGGAACGTGCGGAGCAGTTAACAAAACACGTAGAGACTCAAAATTTTGTGTGTTTTTATGCATTATTTGTTTTTTTTTTTTTTTGTTTTAGAATCTATTATTTGCACATTTATTTGATTATAAAGTTATTTGTTTTTGTCGGATTGGTTCTATTCGTGCGCTCAAAACTTCAACTCACTATGCTGAGCACATTTTGCTGTGTCTCCATGGGTCCGTGTCCATTTGTCAGCGATGTCGAGTGCGGCGTGACCAGCAGTGGCGTCGTCATCGTTGTCGTTGAGGCGGGCGCGGGCACGGAGGCAGTGGCAGAGACTTGAGAGACAACATTGCCGTTGCAGTTGTGTGAGGTGGGCACGGGTGTGGGTGCAACGGCAATTGTGCCATTGTATTGTGTCACTGAAGCTGTTCCTATTGCTGGTGCTGTTGTTGCTGTTGTTTGTGTTGACAGATTTGTCTGTGATAAATTTGCGGATAACAACAAGGATTTGCGTTTTAGTGCTACGCTTCTCTGAATATATATATTCTGTTTGTTTTTATTTCCTATTATTATATTGTGGTTGCACTTTTATGCTCAGCTATAATGTCTTTTTTTCTATTAGGTAATTCTTATGTGGGTTGCACAGACTACCAACCGACCAACACCAAAATTGCTTAGTAAATAAGTACGTTGCAAAAAGTATAAACGTATATATAGTATATTATATGTAGGAGTAATGCATGTATATAAGTATGTAGAATATAACAAACGAGCGAGCAGTAATAGTTCATTGTTTATAAGGCATGGCACAGTTTTCTGTTTTGAAGCATGCTTTTTACTTTCCACTTTGTTCTCTTACCGCTCAAAATACAATTAGCATTGAATAATGATGTTGATCGAAAAAAAAAAAAAAAAAATGGAGTGAAACAAAACACACAAAAACATAATCATATACAATTGTTTGGATTATATGGGGTATTTAAAGCTGAGCGCCGGGCGGGGTTTACAGAAAAAGTCTCATTTCGGTTACATTTTTATCTTAGACTAGAAATATATATATATATAAGTTCATACAAAGAAAGAGATTCAAGTTACTGTCCAACTAATTTGTCATATACAGATAAGTGTATTATTATTATCATATATGTTTAGACCAAAATAAATATCACTCATTCAATCAGTAAGTCAATTAATTCAGCAAATCCATCAGCATCATCACCAGCATAAAAAATGCGTAAACTTAATGCTAAGATCAATGCCGGCATAACAATTTTATTTGTTGCATACATTTATATGACCGTGATTAGGGGTTTGGGAATATACATTTTGGCATAGTTATATATATTTAGAGAGAGAGAGAGATAGAAGAAATATACGTATTTAAATAATTCGTCAATACATCATGCGACCAACACTCAATATATATATATATGTTTGTATGTGAGTAATTTATGTATATGATTGATTGTCTATATGTGTGTCTGCATTCGAATAAGCCAGCCCTGCAGCCCATTGTACACTAGTTCCGAACTATTTGCCAGTGACAATTCAAATAAACGCACTCTTAATAATTTTAACATCACGTCAAGTAAAAACAAATGAAAAAGTTGAGGAAAACTATTACTAAGGAGTAGGGGAAACAATGGGAAAAGAAAAGCTATATGAAATAATTACATAATGTTTGCTACAATAGCGTACAATTACTTTGATGGAAGCTATTTTAGAAAATATTCGTAATTAGTTGCTGATGCTAACGCGATCAAAATTAATTTATATTTATTTTCTAATTATTTTCAAAATTTAACCACAATTGCTTTTTTCAATAGTTTCCCTGTGGGTAAAAATCGTATTGGATCGGATAGTTGCTCTGTGGGTGAACATCGAATGAAGTCGGAATTAAACGATTGAAAAATTATGATATATAATTATATAAAATTTAATTAATTATATATAATTTACTATTTGAAAATATTAATACTTTCTTAAGTTTTACATTCAGTATTGAACTGATCAATATACTGAAAAGTTTAGTACCGAAATTTCGGTTTCTAACGTTCAGAGTAGAAGATAGTTGGAAATACTTTATTTGATTACTGACCAATAGACCTATTCTCTTCAAAAAATAGTAGCGTAAAGTGTTGGAAATGATTGAATTTGTATTTTTCCGACAGAAATGTTAATATTTTTGATCTAGGCAGTAATAAAATAGAACTAATAGTGTAGAGAGGCAAATTACGATTTTAGTGCTGTTGGGACATCAAACGAGGCGTATGAGTAATTGTATTTCAATTTACATTTGTTGGAAAACCAAAGGACCTAGACCCAAAATGACAACACAAAATAGACCAAGGAAAACACAGCAATAAAATACATAGTACTTATGGGTGTGTGTGTGTGTGCCTATGTGCGTGTCAACAAATTCGAGTACAAAACTGATTGAATTTGACAATAGCACATTTTCCGAGCATTGTTTTTGAATTCGGCCAACCAGTCTCCTCCATTTGCTCGAACATCTCGTCTATCTCTACCTCGCCCATACTTTTGTTGAGTAACCATTTGTCAATGTTTGCAGCTTTTGACGCAAGTTGTTTCGTGTCTGTCTGTCTGTGTGATTGTTTGTTTATTGCAAGGGTTCGCAATTTTCGTGTGTGTGTGCCCATTTATACAGCTGTTGTTTCTATTTCATGTTCTTGTTCATGCTTATGCATGATTTATGTATTATTTATGAACTTATATTAGTACGAATTGTTGCTGTTGCTGCTACTGTTGTTGTAAGTTGTAGTATAAAGCAAACTGCGCCTTGCCTCCGCTGCTGCCGTGTTGGTCAATTAATATTGAATATAAATCGGACAGAGACTTATGTAGATAAATAAGCATGCGAAAACAGAAGAAAGATATTAAATAACATGTGTCAATCAGTGCTTGTTTTTTTTTTCATCTTCATATTTATGTGAAATTAAATACTTTTTGAGTTTATATCGTAATGAGGAAAGTGATTGAGCACTTGAGTTTTCTTTTTTAATTGGACAGCTGTCTTAATTAAATTTGGCGTTGGGTCTGCAAAAAGGAACCGAATTGTGTGAATGCTTATTATAATTGCTTCACAGGACTGACAGTTTAAAATATTGATTCTAAATATTCATTGTGTCGAAATATTTTATGTAACAATTTTTTAAAGGAATTTAAATTGCATATAAGGCCTGCGAAATAAGTCACCTTATCAACATATTTTTCTTAATTAAAACAAAAATCTTCGATATTTTAAATTGATTGTAATTTTTCCTTAAACTTTATAAAATGACAGTTTAAATTCAGTTTAGTAATATTTAAGAAATTATAAGAAACTTTTTTAAAAAATAAATGAAAATTTTTCCGAACGAAATAATTGAACTGATCAAATTCAAAAAACTTTATTTATATCTCGATTTACTTGTGTTTTTAGCGGTAATTGTTTAGATATGTCCTCCATTACTATTAATTACTCTTAACATGCGATCTGGCATTGAACTAACCAAGTTTTGAGGAAGTGATCCGTACAATTTGGCCCACTCTGTTACGATTGCTTCTTTTAATTCTTTCAAGGATCTAAATTGTCTGCCATGCATGTAAACCTTACTGGAAAGGATTCCCCAAAGGTTCTCTATGGGATTAAGATCTGGACTTTTTGCAGGCCACATCAAAAGTGGTATTTTGTTATCCTCAAAAAATTGTTTTGTGCGTTTTGAGCCATGGATTGGAGCATTGTCCTGCTGGAATGTCCAATAATCTCCACACATTTCTTCTCCAAAATGAATCAGGTTTTCGTCCAATAGCTCTACATAGATTTCGGAGTTCATTTTATGTGAGACAAAGCATATAGGACTCTTTCCAGCAAAGCAAAATGCAGCCCACACCATTAGCGATCCTCCTTGAAAATTGCGCGACACTTTCATTTGTTTGGGGGTCCTGAGGTCACGATAATAATATTGATACCCATCTGGTCCACCTAAATTAAATTTTTTTCATAACTGAAAATAATTTTTTTCCACTCCAGGTCCCAAAACTTATGCATCTCTGCAAAGTGCATGCGGGCAACTTTGTGCCGAGGAAGTACTTCACATTTGACGGTTTTTTTTCATATGAAATGAATTGATCGGCTCGTAAAATTTGTTGCACGCGACGTTTTGACACTGAGAGATCCAGTTCCTGACAAATTTCGCCTGCGCTCAGGTTTTTTTTGAGTGCTAACGGTTTTATTCTCCTCTTATCGCGATTTTGTACCAATGGCGGGCGACCGGAGCGTGGCTTTTTTCCGTGGTGTTCGGGGTCTTTCAAAAACTTTTGTATAGTAAAAAAGCTCCTTTGTATTTTGGAAGCAATTTCACGTAAGGGCATTCCAGTTTCTCGATATGCTAATATTTTAGCTCTTTCTTTATCAGATAGGTAACGGCTTTGATGCATTTCTACTAAAATTATGGTTAATTATAATCTGATCTAATGTTCTAAGCCTGGATTAAAGTCAAAACTCACTTATTTAATTTTTTTAATTATAAATCCCAAAATTTTGATGAAAATGGCCCTTTAATGCACTGGTACAATGACAAAAACTGATTTGATCAGCTCAATTATTTCGTTGTGTAAAGAGAGGCAGCAGCAATTTTCGATAGAAATAACGGTAGTAATAAAGGATTTCTGCTTCTCCTTACTGTTTTAAGCAAGAGAATTAGATGAAAGCAAACTATGCAAAAAATGAAGTGGAAAACATAAATGGTAAATCTGTGGCATTACGTTATATGCATGATAAGGTGACTTATTTCGCAGACCTTATTTGCGAGTTGTAGCTGTCGTAATTATTTTCTTCGTCTTCAAATTGGCCAAAAAGTCACTACCAGTATTGATTTCAAATTATTTTATAAAACTGTTATGTTAGAAAAAATGTTTTAAAAAATATTTAAAATAAATTGAAAGATGTTTCTGTGATAGCTAAAAATTAGCATTAGCATCTATAATTCAGTTCTTATATATTTCCATGACACCATTTGTTATATTTGTATATCCTTTTTGAAAATTATGAGCAACCCCTTTTCTGATATCTAAAACCGTTTCATACTTGTGACTTAAGCCTTCCCCACTCATGTCCTCTATGTGGAAACCAGATGAATTTAAGTGCAACATGTTTATAGATTCTTTTGGCAAGCTGCAACAACTCATTTCGATTCGGAATTGACTGCAGTTAAATTTACTTTTTTTTTTTATTTACGACCGCAGTATTTTACCATTGGAAACAACAGTCGTATGCTAAAATGTTGAAATTAATTTCATTTAAGCTATCAAAATTTGTCCAGTTTAATTTCTAAACCAAAGGCATTCCACATAACAAAATCGAACGTTTCAAATTGTATTCTCTGGAAGGCAAATGGCAAACATTGTCACACTATAACGAATTCGCCACAGGCAGGCAGCAAGCGAATTGTAATAAAATGTGGTCTCAAATTGTATTTGCACAATATTATTGCGTATTGTTGTTACAAATGTGTAGTTGATACAATTTTGTGTACAATTGTATTTTGCATATTCATAAAAGTTTGTGGTAGGCAATACGAGTACAACAGCAACAACAATTAAGAGGCAATAACAAGAACAACAGCAAGAGGCAAGTAAGGACAACAACGAGTAATATTTATTGCATTTGTAAATAATTAAATATTTGCTAATTTATTACACCTCAAAGGCAAGAGTTCACTTAAAACTAAATGTAAACATAACAAGCGCACAATTGCCTCTTGTTTTCTATACATATTGTATGTGTATATTAAATATTTGTTTATTTGTATTTGTTGTTGTGTGCGCCAAATTAAGCGCTACACAAATGCCACTTTGATTTAAAAAAATTGTTTAAAGCTCAAAATGTTGAATTATGTAAATACAGGAATCAATTTTCATAAACAAACAAAAGGGACGATGCCAAAAATGTTGTTGGTCAGCACTCTTTGTGTTTACCTTAAAAAGAACAAACAATGCCGTATTTATTCAAATTTAAATATTTTATGCTGAAGCTTTTAACAAGTGCAAATAGTTATGAACATTTTGGGAATATTTTTCCCATGCACTTGAAACATTTTCTATATGCCCGAAAGTATGCAAAGAGGAAACTTAATTTAATTTGTGAGCTCGGCTGCCTGGCTGGCATTTCAAAAATATTTTCTACTGATTTATTGCGGCTGCGTAACGAAAACGTGATTTCATTTCAGTTTTGACCAGAAGCCATCCACAGAGCCAGAGAGTTATTTTCAAGTTTCGTGCTTGCACGTGAAACTCGTACATGCGTGGATCTCTTCCCAAAAATGTTTATTTGATTGCTTATGTGTGCTTCTAAAATTTTAATTAGAAAAAAATGCCAACAACAACAACAAGCTGAAATCAAAACTACAAAGCATTGGCAGCATCACCAGCACCAGAAACGTGAAAATGTCCCCGAGCGCTCAACAAAAAGAAAACAAAGTAACAGAACATCCAGTAATGGCATGGCAACGCCTAACAGTAGGCTGTAGATAGGCTTAAGCGTTTCAAAATATTCAGTATCCAACGGTTTTTTATGTTGTTTTGAAAATTAAAGACATTAATGCGTTTTTTTTTTTTTTTGATTGGATTGTTGGCAAAATTAATCCGGTTTCGAAATGCACGAAAATGATCCTATTTTGAAAATAAACAGTTCTCCCACATATAGGATACATGTTTACATTGTCCTTATGGTCGCTTTAACGAACAGTTTGTTTGTAATAAATAGTTGCCGATTAATATATTTAGCAGTTTTCAAGACGAGCATTATTGCTGATTTCACATCAAAAAATAATCGAAATACAATATATGGAAGATATTAATCTTGAACTTTTACAAAACTAGCTGATGAAATATTTGTAAAGGGCATATGAAATACTAATAGCAAATTAATAAAAGTTAATTATAATAAATTGTTTACCAATTTAAATACAAGCATTCATATTTGCAATCAATGTGTACATTTTTTATATTAATAAGCAATCAACAAAAACTAAATTGAATAATACTTATGTTCAGAAACTAGTTCGCTCTGTTATAGCATTCGCTGATAAATTTCTTGAGCCAAGCGTGTCGCTTGTCCCACTGTGCAGCAACGCAGCAGCTAAAAAGTATGCTACAAATATACGAATGCAAAAACTGTGGGTTCTCGGGTTTGTGTTGGATTGTTGGTTTAGAATTCTGCGTATCTGACTATATATGAGCGACATGTTTACGTGTATGTATGTATGTGTGTGTATAAGTGAGCTGGTAGGTGGGTGTGTCTGCAGGCGTTTTGTTTTCTAGCTGCGTGTGCTGATTCTTGTTGTTGTTGCTTGCTCCTGTTGTGTTATGTTTGTTGCTGTTCAAAACGCATGCGATTAAAAATGTAAAAGGCAGCAACAGTACAATAATAACAACAAAGATGGCCCGATTTTGTGTAGCTGTATCTGTGTGTGTGTATGTGTGTGTGGCCGTGCATACTTATAGGCGCACAAAACGACCAAACCAAACCAAATCAAAGCGCAACGTTAACCAAACCCAAAGCCAAACCAAACAACGCTACAAATGCATACAGAAAATACGAGTACACGACCACACACAGACAGCGAGTTCTATAAATAGTATATATGTATGTATACATGTATATATAAGAATATATGTTCTGGAGTGGTGGGAAACTAGCATAGTTGCATAAATGCATATGTGCTTATTTCTGCATTTATGTCAGACTCACCTTCTTCTGTTGCATGTAGAGCGACGCATTGGCACCACCATCGGCCGCATTTGTAGCTGCCCCTGCAGCCACTGTGTTGCCATTGCCGCCGCCTGCTCCAGCAGCGACTGCAGCAGCAAGGCTGCCCTCGGCTGCCTTCAATTGGGTCACTGGTTCAGCTGCTTTGGCCGCATTGGCTGCCACAACCAGTGACAGACTTTCAGCAGCTGTGGGCGCAGCGCTGGCTGCTGCTGCTGCTGCGCCTGCCTGTTGTGCAGCGGCCGCGGCAGCAGCGGCTGCTGCTGCTGGACCTGGCGCGGCTGCATAGCCAGCAGGTGCGCCGGGGTAGGGCGCCACGCCAGCCTGCACCATGTGCTGTAAGTAGACAAAATACGAAAATATACATTAGTAATGTAAATGGACACAAGGGGAAAGGAGAGAGAAAGATAATGTGCTACACTGATATGTGAAAGTCAGGTTGGACTCGTTTTATCTACGAGTATGTTCTGCAGTTTGCTGTAGTTGCGATCAGACGTGTAAATAATTTGCTAACAAATTTGTCAAATTTTTCAATCTTTCCGTAAAGAGTAAATTCAAAAATATGTTCTTTTAAATTATTAAGTGTCTTTAGCAAAAAAAAAGACAAGGTTTGCTCTACATCCTCTAAAATGTTTAACCAAATACAGCTTCAAGTAGAAAGAATCAATGATCTTCTTTACGATGTGACAGGGAAGTTTTTCAGATTTTATAATATAATATTTTATTCAAAGAATAATTATTTTTCTTTGCAGAAGAGTTTTTTTAAATCAAATGTTCAACCAAAGTCGTATAACTTGCAAAAGAGATGATGATGTAAGCTCTATGATTTGATCAAACGTCTATGTTATTTCAATGCTTTTTTCTGCCTGTGTACCAATACGAGCGCATATAATCAGGCCTCCACATATTTCTAAACATTGAGCTCATATTTCGCTTTGTTTTTCCAACAGTTCAAATGAAAATTTTTCTGCCTTTTCGTTGACACATTTCATTTCATGGCAAGCAGAAACCGACGCGTGTCCAACAATCCCAACTCTTTTGTACTTAATGTGTGTGTGTACTTTCTGGTTGTCGCCTGATATCAACCTGGTTCATTTTGGGACCGCATAGTTAACCCGTACGCCAACTACATTGGTAAGCTTTTTGTCATACAATAACAACGAGAAACATAGAACTGTCACACACACTACCACACACACAGACACTCTCACTACGTAGACGGAAATATGCATAACTTTATTGCCTGCACAGTACGCGTTTTAAATTTCCACTTTTATTACATCTGCTCCATTTTTATTTGTAAACATTTTTGCCATTATTTGGCCAGACTATCTTTGCAATATGCCCGGGGAGAGACGAACAGGGAGAGGGGAAGGGAGAAAGCAAGCCAAGAGACTGTCAACATTTATGAAATATGCAAAATTTGCAGCTTATTGTAACTAAATATGCGACACCCCACGCATCTCCACCACCTGCTGGTTGAGCTCCGCCGCCGCTTTGTCAAAAAACTTTTTGGCAGCAGTGTGCGGCACCCGCTACTGCTATTGCTCCCGCTATGAAATGGCAAAAGGGATTATCATGTGAGTGGCATTTTAATATGTTTGGCTACGAAATTGTTGTTGCAACTTTCGGGCTGCTGCTGCTGCCACCTGAAATGGCTATTAATTTTTGGGATTTAACAAAACGGACAGTGGCTCCGGTAGAGATTTGTTGAAGCGCCGTGCACCAGACAGCGTCATTTTCAAGGTAAGTTTACGTATACATATGTATGTGTATATATATTTAGGTATTAAGTATTTGCTACTACTAAGCTAACACTTAAATGTTGTTTGTAAGCGGTTTTATGGCTTTGATTTTTTCTTAAACTTATCTTCTTATCTCTGTAATTTCATTGATATAGTTTTTAGGCTGTAATATACAAATATTTGTGTATTAAAAAATAAGAACGGGACCACCAGAGCACTTTGTGCAAAAAATATGATGAAGAACGATTTTTAAAACAATCAATTTCAAAAATATATTAGAAAAATGTAAAAGTATTTTAAATATAGAAATGTTATTGTAACATAGAAATAATTTAAAGTTTTTGAAAGATATTTAAATGAAATTCCTTAAGTGCCTAAGTGTTATTTAATAGCGCCCTATATACTACATATCTATTTTAATGGGTCCCTAATGTGTGTAATTTGAAACTAGCCAGCTAGTACCCAACAATTTTGAAATTATTTCAAGAAAATATTAAAAATAACTTGCCTTTAAAATTACATGAGCACAGTTGGCTAAAAACACAAATATTTTCTTTGGCATGCTGTGCTCCTCTCAGAGGTAACGATGATGAATCGTAACAAATTTGCAACGCCCGCATTTCTGACCATGCTCATCACTAACGTTAGCTTCCTCTTCTGTTTGTTTTCCCCCACAGCCACAGCCACAGCCACCGCCACCGCCACAACCTCCATCAACATTTCCACCAACCAGCAGCATCAACACGACGGACTGCCCAATGGTTTATGCTTTGAAAAATTAGCTTGTTAATTAAATGCAAGCCATATGACATGATCTGCTGTCTCATGCTGTTTTCTATCCCGCTCTATGATGTAATCGTCGAGCGGTGCAAATTAGCGCACACACACGTCGCGCATACGCCACGTAGTACGCTGTGTAGCATGACACAACGACATTGCATTCAAATACTACATACTCGTACATACATACATAGTAGGTATCGTGTGTATGTTGATATGTGGCAAAGTTTATTTGTATATTGTAGCGAGCAGCTCCCAACTAAAAAGAAAATTGTCATGTTAAATTCACATAAAATTCTCGAGAATACATTCTGATGTGCCAATGAAAATGTTTTTCATGACATCCAACAAAATATGACAGCAGAAGCAGCCACGTTCTATGGCAAGCAGGCGTTTCTTATATGTATGTATATGTACATGTTCATGTGTTGAATTATGCACTCGCTAGAAGAGCTGTGCGTGTGTGGGTCTTGAGGCATCAAATAAGCGCACTCGACGTTGAACATGTTGAAATGTCTTCTGGTTGGCGTTAGGGTCTCGACATGTCGTCTTCAACCGCAATTTTAATTGTGCAGGCAGCCGTGCCGAGTGCCACTTAAAAAACACATTCGCATATACTCGTTCAAATATACGCACACACTTTCTACTTATTGTTGACAATTAACGTGGCCATTGATTGAGCGCATAAAATACGAAAAAGGAAGGAGATGGGGAAAAACAATTACGTCATCAACAATAAAGCTTCCTGCACAACTTTCATAATTTAAATGCAATTTAACAGTTCTTTCATTTCGTTTTTCTTCAGTTCAGTTCAGTTCAGTTTTGCAAGCATTCTCCTGTATTTGTCATTTAATTGCATAAAAATTGCAAGACAAAGATACATTTGTTTTTTTTTGTTTTGGGTATACGAGTATTTACAAAGCAAATATTTCGTGCCATTGCAATTTGCATTCAAACAATTGCAGCATACTCTTCAAATCGGTTTCATCGGAAATTTCAGTAAATTTGGGCTTGACTTGTTTTGTAAAATAAAATTATAAAACAGAGTAAGCTTGTCCCTGATTTGCAATCAATTGGTTTTACTTGTGTTGGTTTTTTCTTATATCATGGGGACAGATTATGTGGTCTTTAAAATGTTTCTTGCAATATTTCATAGTTTTTAGAGTATTCTCTAGTCGTCTTTGACAAAAGGATCTCTTTTTTTTTGCACGACAGCTGGCGCTTATTTTATTGACTGCCATGCCGGTCGCCATTTTTATGCAATGTTTACTTTTGCCGACTTCTCACGCTCTATGTGACTGCCACCCACTTGCCGGTGCTTACTCCCTTTTCGATTCATTCATTGTGTTGTTTTTGGAACAGTTTCAACAAAACACTCTAGTTGTCGTTTTCAAATAAATTCGCTGCGCTTTGAAGTGCAATTTGAATATCCAAAGGTGTTTGCAGAGCATGTCGAAATGCATATTATTAGAAAGTATTTTTATTTAGCTTCGGTACACATGGCGTATGCTTAATATTATTCTGTTTTCCTTTGTCGTGCCAAATTCCACACGCGCTGTCAAAACAAATATTTAGCAATTACATCAATGGAAATAAATTATATATACATAGATATATATTTATATTTATAAACAATGACGTCCGCCGGCTAAAAATTTTCCTTTTTGGCAAACATTTTTCTCAATGCCGGCTAGGCGACGACGAGCCCGGCCGTGCGTCAGTTGTTGCGCTCTTTTCACCCAAAAACTCGTAATTGTAGTTGAACCTGACACAGTGAAAACGTTTGAACAATTGCTCAATATTATTGAACTAACTGACGCAATAGACTTGCGCGCCCGCCAATTTTGGTCAAAGCGAGTCAAAATTTGGGGCGATGGTGGCGGTGGCGACGCCAACAGTGCTCGTTAAAAGCCAACAAACAGTCAAGTTGACCAACTGCGCATTGCGGCGCATGCCAATTAAAATCTGAAGAGTGAAATAGAAATAGAGAAAAAGAGTAAAAAACTTTAAAAAAAAACGGGCGTGCAATTGAAATTGAAATTTGCTTAGCATGCGCGCCCAGCAAATTGCGGCGTTGATTGTTTGATTCGATTACTCAATGGTCGAGCAGAGCAGAGCGATTGGCAGAAAATAAAATCAAAACAAGAAATTCAGCGCAACATTTGTCAGTCGTTTTTTCCCCTTCTTGTATCACTGACTGTCAGCACTTGGAATGCCACTCACGCATGCACGCACGCACGCACGTGCCAAAGGGGTCGCGCCATGGCATATCGCTTTTATTCAGTTTTGGGCCTGGAAAGTGTCAAGCCATGCATATTGCATGGCATACATTTCAAAAATGTACTCGAATGTAGGTGCACATGTCAATCGATGCGTCATGCATGTAACCAAATTTTTGTGCATATTTCAGCATTGCAATGAGGCCTGAAAGTTGCCGGTACCAAGTGGCGGTGGCACCAACATTATTTACGCTGCATCGAAGGTCAACAGCATGAATTGTACAGCAAAAATGGCTGAAAAAACGTTGCAGTTGTTGCGACCATATTGGAAATGGTTATGCGACAGGTAGACTGTTTCTTCCATTAAAATATATATACTATAGATACTATTACATATACAGCAAGCCGACTTCGAATTATTCACTGTGGCGTAGTTATATGAAATACTAAAAAAAAAAAAATTAAATTTCACAAAGCAAGCAAATTAAATTACATTGCAATTGCGTGAACAAAAAAACTTATCGAATCGATAGAAAAATTAGGTCCAACAAGTCACTTTACAAACATGTGGAATTTCCAATTAGGATCCGCT